TATGGGAGCCGGTGGGGGGCGTGGCTCAGTGACGTCAGGACGCACGCCGGAGGGGAGGGCGGGTCACGCCGGCGCTAGCGCAAGCAAGCGCGCGAGCGAGAGAGAGAGGGGCTGCGAAGCTAAGCAGGATCGGCCCGGGTCCGGCTTTGGGAAGGGAGACGCAGCGCTGCCGTAAACCTAGGGACCGCCACCTTCGCCCTCTCGAGACCCTCCAGCGCTTGAAGCTCCGGCCACTGGAAGATCTAGCCGCGTTTTGGGGCCCTGGGGCGCGTCCGGTGGGGCTGGATGGGCTCCCAGCCTCTCCCGCCCCCATTTATCTGCTGTTTAATGATGGCGAATTGCAGCCATCTCTGGCGCCCACCGCTTCCAGACCAACGTGCCCAAACTCTGGAAGTGGGTCGTGGCTGCACAGATGAACCCGCCCCACGGGTCAAATAAGCAGTAGAAATCATCCGAAGCCACACCATTCCCCCCACATTTCTCACTGGAAATGGTGTCTGCCATCTTTAAGATGGTAATCATCATTATTATTTTTTTTAAAAAACCCCAAACACCATTTACTCTTTTTTTGTTTGTTTTTGCTTTTTGACCTCTTCCAAGTTTTTTTTCCCCAAAAAGGGAAGTCTACGATCAATTTCTTGTGCTACCAGTAGTGCTGTGTTAAGGCAGGGACATCCCACCCGTGACAGATCCGTGCACCACAGGATAAAGGATGTCAAGATACCTCCAAGATGACGCGGCCGGTCCCTGACCCAAAACAGAGAGGGAGGGAGGGAGGCATGGAGCTCAACAGGGGGAAGGTTTCCCATGCCAGCAGACAGAGGTGGTCTGGACCGGCCTCTCTCTCCTCGCTGCAAGATGTCCGGGGCAAAAGGGGCCAGGTCTCGCACGCCTGCCAGGAGGGAGGTCCATGTCTACCAGGACGGTGGAGGTGAGGCAGGGAAGCCGACCTTAGGAGTCAAACCAAGGGAGCGTCAGCATCTCTACTTAGCCAGAGGCTGAGGAAAGGTTTAAATTGGCCCGTCATCCCAGAATGCAGGCGGGACACATAATACTGGGCTCACCTTACAGGAAGCCAGACTTCAGCCGAGTGTCAGGGAAAACTTCCTAACTGTTAAGAGCAGTACGACAATGGAACCCATGACCTCCGGAGAGGGTGAGCCCTCCAACGCTGGAGGCCTTCAAGAGAAGACTGGACCGTCTGCCAAGTCTGCTTTGATTTGGAGCAAGGGGTTGGACTGGATGGCCTTAGAGGGCCCCCCTCCCCAACTCCGTTCTTCTAGGATTCCACGTCTGTCAATAAGGGAGAGAAAAACGTGGACTGGATGGCCTTAGAGGCCCCCCCTCCCCCCAACTCCGTTCTTCTAGGATTCCATGTCTGTCAATAAGGGACAGAAAAGCGTGGCCTTGGCCGAAGCTACTTCAGCAAGTCCACCAGTGATTTGGAAAGGATTTAGACCTGCTTCCCCAAGGGTGAACACATCAGCTGCCTCTTTGGTACCCACGGGGATGAATGACCACAGGGGACACACACACACACGCACAGAGTCCCCTCCAAAATATCCCCCACAGCCCCCCCTTGGATGGAGGGTTCTTGTTCTGGGAATGGGATGTTCTATTGGGTGGCCTTGAACAGCTGCTGCCCTGCGGTTTCAACCTTCAGCTCCATGCAGCTTGAAAGCTATTAAAATCTTTTCTGACATAAAGACAGGCACCCCCCACTTTTTTTTTAAAAAAAGAAAGCACCAATTCATGTGAGTGACAATATAATTATGTTTTATTTATTTTAACACACTGCTGGTTAAAACTGCCAGGCAGTATATTTCAGAATATTTCCCTCAACCAGACATCCTGGGAGAAAGAAAGAAAGAAAGAGAAAAAGAACAAGATTTAAAAAACAAAACAAGCTAAATGTACCAAAAAAAGAGGCAGGGGGAGGGTAAGAACTAGAGAAACCAACTGGGAACATCTCCTCCGTATTCCTTCTGTGTCCCCATGAAAAGAATCATTTTGTCCAGGCAATGCGGTCAGACCTTGGAATCTGTACTTTTTACACCCTTTGACCAAGCTTGGTTTTAAATACACACTACGAAAACCGATCACTGCAAACGATCAAAGGCTTAACGCCAGGGGGACGTAACGAACCTCCTCCTCCTTCAAAACTGCCTATTAGCTTTGGCAATGCAGACGAAGAATGACGATTTAAGGAAATGGATCCCATCTATTGTAGCTAAAGCCTGTGACCATGAGGATTACCTCTGTCTGACCTAAAAGATCGAATTGTCTCCCTGAAAAGCACGTCAGGCCATTGTGGGCAGGCACGGGCACAAATCCCAAAAAGGAATGAGCCGAGTCCAGTATGCCCCTCCCCTTGCAGAGTTGGAACAGGGGATGGTCCTCCCCCAGGCATCTATCCAGGAACTGGGACTTTCAGCCATTCAAAGAGGCTCTACCTCCCCTCAAGCTTTCGAGCGTGATGGAGAAGCTCCACATGTGACCCTGTTTAGATGATGTGTTTCATGTAAAGCCATGCCTTTTCTCTGGAACAACTCCAATCTCTCTCAGAAAGGTACTCCCTAAAGGCACCCCAACCACCCCCTTCTTGCACATAAGGGCACCCTAAGACCTGGGTGCTACACCCCAATAAAGTAGCACCAGAACTAAAACAGGCTGATAAATAGCTTCCGAATCCTGCCCTTACTCAAGTTCTGGAGCTGTGTCTCTCCGTTTTTGCAGACATGGGCATGACCTAAGGGGTCAGCAGACCCCCAGACTGGCTCAAGGGCATTGCACAGACCTTGAACGGAGGCTGGTCCTACAGATAATGGCTTTGTTTCTTCCTCTCCCATAATCCTCACTCACATGTCTCCTTGGGCAAGTGCTGCCGGCAGGCATGGGGAGGCGGGTAGATGATGATCCTCAGGGGATGGGAAATATGGCATCCCCTGTTCCTGCAGGGTGTAAGCGCCTTCCAAAACATCCCATTCAGCGTCCAAGACACCTCCCAGTTCTCTGAACCCATGCAAACTGCCCGGCTTTCTTTCAGAGGGCAGACCTTGGAGGCAGCATCTGAAAGTTGAGCCCAAGGACTTCTTTCTCATGAGGCTGAAACGTTTGGCTACTCATCCAAGGAGCTTCTTTGGTCTGAGGAGAGTTGGTAGGAGAGCCCCTGATATCTCCTCCATGTTGGCTTCAGTTCCCTCTGGTCTGAACAGGCTATTCAGTCGCTACCTGGACGAGTAGGGAAACATTTCTACCTACGAAGAAAGACATCCCCTTGCCAGGACTCCACTTCCAGGGAACCTCACCCGGAGGACTGAGCGTCTGTCCTGGCATCTTGTAGACAGCAGGAGTCACATTGGCCTTCCCTTCCAAAAAAGGTCACTGCAAGGCAGTGGGGAAGGAATGCTGTTTTTCCAAAAACGCATCCTATCAACCACGACACACAAGGACCCTCACTGACTAGGAATGATCCTTGAAATATCCTTTTTCTCTCTCTCCATTCCTCCTGCCTCCCTAAGATACAGGCCTTGCGTCCATCTGGGCTTGGAAGGGGTGGGTGGGTCAGAGGCTGCTGACCTTCTCTCCACATTGAAGCCACCCGTCAGCTATAATGAACATACAATCTGGTCTTCTCTCCACATTGAAGCCACCCGTCAGCTGAAGCAGAGCGCCTGGGCTATAATGAACATACAATCTGGTGCAATGGCCCTACATTCAACTCCCCTTTCAGCACCCTCCAAAACCAGGAAGCTTGGAGACTTTAACACAATAGTCTATTTACTCAAGACTTCCTCTCCTCCCACCAGAGAAATGAATAAACATTGCAGGTTCCAATGTACTATTTTGGTCCTACCATCTTCCTTTGCTGAAGAAAGGAGTTCAGTCTGTGCCAAATCCTATCCCTCAAGCCCTGGAGGGACCTCCACTCCCTGGTCAACTGCTTATCTCCCCTCGTGGATATCCAGTAGGCAAATGCTCTTGCTTCCCAGCCAGGCAAAGAGGGAGGGAGGCCTCCTCTAGGAGCTCACTTCCCTTGGTCTTCTCAGCCTCAAGCTGGGCTTCCAGAGGGGGGCTCCGTCAACTCAGGCATCTGAGCAAATGGTGACAAACCACACGGTCCCAATCGCTGGCCGCTGGCCTGTTACTACGGCGCAGGGGAAGAAGACTACAGGAATTGGGTAGAAGCACCTCTAGCAAAGGATAACCCATGGCCCGGGCTTGACCAGCTGTATCTGAGCTGCACAGTTGTAGAAGGCAACTTGACTCCCAAAGCCGCTGCCTTGACAAAAAGTCATGACTAGATGGGGGATGGCAGGGGTGTCACAGCCTGGGGTGGTGGTGGTGGAGCAACACTTCGCTGCCTTGCAGTGCCTGAGGCGCGCATCGAGTAGTCATCCCGCATGCAGAGAACAACTCAAGGTTCGCAGTGCAACAACAAGGCTGCATTCTGATGGCTAGGTGGAAACCAGAGGGAGCTCCCCCGCTGGCCGATAGGGACTCAGTTAGTCATGACAGTCCACAGCATCACGCCAGCCTGTCCTGGCGCTCAGGAGGGACGCTGCCAAAGCCGTGCATCAGAGTTGTGTTAACTACGGCCACAAATTTAGGGACGCTGCCAAAGCCGTGCATCAGAGTTAACTACGGCCACAAATTTGGGCAGCTCCTCTCTTTTCTTCTCCTGACTAGGCCGAAAGAGAGGCCACCTGGACCTTACAGTTGTGACATCTCAACACAGAGAGCGTAAGTCACAAAGCCTGAACTCTCTGACCTTCTCCAGGTGGAGGAGCCATCTGGCTCAAAAGGGACAGCTTCTCTCAGCAATGAATGCTCCACGGTGGTGGTGGTGGTGGTGTTTGTTTTGTTTTTTTAAAAGAGGAAACAAAAGTTCCTTAAAACATAAGCTTCTTTTCAAGCAAAGCATCTTCCTCTCACTACCTGAAACACTGTCTAAAAGGCACAAACACACACCCAGACCAATTTAACTTTGGCATCCCTCTAATTTCCACCCGTCACGTCTCCCCAAACTGAGAAGACACCTCCCAGCCGCCTCCTGCATTCAAACACTGGTGACTGAACATGCCAGCCAGGGGACCGAATTCAGGAGGGGCAAACACCCTCCGTCCTCTCCGTGTCCTCAAAGGAAGGGCCTCTCATCTGCCAAGGAAGGATGGTTTCACACTTGAATCCATCTCTGCAGGGGAAAGGGATGACGGATGAGGGCACGGAGACCCTTTTCCTACTTCTTCCCCTTCAGGCATCAGGCACAAGAGTCAGGAATGGAGAAACCTCGCCCTCTTGTGTAGTATTTAGCTTGGAGAACCTTTTACATGGAGGCTCCTCATAAGCTTTTGCCATCTTTATGAACTCATCGTACTCCTTCATAGAGCATAACTATCTTGCAAGTCAGAAGCCAGCCTCTGATCTCTCCTGCTTTCCACACTGCCCAAGGCCAAAGCGGGCCTCACAGGAAACGGTCTCTTCTCCTTAAGGGAGGAGCAAACCTTCATCTGAAGGGGACAGAAGAGAGCCTGTAATCATTTGGGCAAACTGCACTCCCCCAACCCTTCAAGATATGGAAGCCATTCAAGATGAAGAGAAGGGGAGACCAACTTGGGAGCAAACTCTCTCGGCTCCAAAGACATCAAATGTGGGGATACAGCCTTCTTCTGCGAAGAGCTGCCCCGGGCCCTCTTCACTGTACTTCTGCCCTCACAGAGGGAATAAGATGATCTGCCTAGGATGGACGGTCGCAACGCTAAAGGCAAAAACCAGGCCACCTTTGGCATATACTTGTTATTCCGCTTTATTTCGTAAATTGAGAACGGCCCCTAATAAGCGGCTACAAAATGGCGACTGTTTGAAGATGATCTGACCGTATGTACAGTATCAAGGAAGAACCAACATCCTCCGCTGCCCCCCCCATGTACCTGAATCCCCATAATAGCCACCTGCTGTCAAGAGTCGACAGTGAGAACGACTCCACCCGCCTTTCAAAGCAAGCGCTCCAGAGGGTTTTAAGAAATTCCACGCTTCCTTCCTGTCCTCGTCAAACAATGCCTAGAGCCGTGAGGAGAAAAAGCAGATGGGCAAACGAGTACGAGGGACTGTACCAAATCCCTGCCAGCCTTTGCAAGGTGCTCGACGAGGTTCTGCAATGGAGGAAAACAAACAAACAAACAAAAAGGATAGGAAGAGGGTGGGGTGGGGCCCCTCGCTTCTGTTTTCATTTTAAAGAATGCTGCTTAACCTAGGAAGCATTCTTAAATTACGAGGGTTTCAAGCTTTGCTTGCCAATGTGAAAGCCCGCCCCTGCTGCTTAGATGCGACTCCCCTTTCGGGAAATGGAGCCGGAAGGTAGGAGCAAAGTTTGGAGGCACGTACCAAAGAACAGGTGTAGGAACAAATTCCAAATATTTGGGGATTCTGAAGAGGAAGGTACAAGTACGCAGTCAAGGCTGAGGACTCCCCAGGCCTGGGCCACTCTTCTGCATGGCAGCAGAACGGAGAAGAAAACACTCTCCCTTCGACAATCTCAAGTGGCTCATTTTAACAAAGGGCATGAAGGTAAAAGCATTAACAGTGGGCACTACAAGTTGGATCAACCCCCCCTGGGTGACACGGAATAGATCTCTGGGGAAATACATCAGAAAGGCCCTGGCAAGTCTGTGGCTCTGAAAGAGGATCACAGGACTCAGAGATCTTCCTACCCTATAAAAGGCATAAGGCAGCACCCCTCTTGGCCACGTGCAAAGCCTCTGTCAAAGCGCCTCTCTCTTCTTTCACCGCACTGTAGACATTTTGGTAGCCCAGAATAAAATTTATATTTCAAGGGCTGTTGCACCCCCGTGGCCATGGCAGAGTGCCTCAACTCAGAATATCAAAACAAAACTTCACATGGAAATGGGTGGCTACTGGAGCCAATGAAACTGATGTGAATTCTCTCTCGCCCTTCCAAAATCCATGCCTGCAACTCAGCTTTCCAGTCAATCTAAAAAAACTCCCCCAAAAAACAAAACCCAAACAAACCCCAAATCTCCCCACACCAACTCTGGCAACAACAAAGCTAGGCTTAAGGTTTCCTTGTGAAGGAGCTGGTTCAGCAACAAACAGGATGATGACCTCAGCTCAAAAAGTGGCACATCTTCTGACTACAAAATGAAAAGGCCACTGGGGAAAAAAAGATCGCCCTACAATCCTAGATGGCCCTGGGAGCTTCGGCTTCAACGCCCCACACGCGCTGAGAACGTGGAGGCTTCCACATCCCATGTTCTCACCAGGCCTTGTGAAGGAGCTGGTTCAGCAACAAACAGGATGATGACCTCAGCTCAAAAAGTGGCACATCTTCTGACTACAAAATGAAAAGGCCACTGGGGAAAAAAAGATCGCCCTACAATCCTAGATGGCCCTGGGAGCTTCGGCTTCAACGCCCCACACGCGCTGAGAACGTGGAGGCTTCCACATCCCATGTTCTCACCAGGGTGGCAGAGTACAAAATGAAAAGGCCACTGGGGAAAAAAGATTGCCCTACAATCCTAGATGGCGCCCCACATGCGCTGAGAACGTGGAGGCTTCCACACCCCATGTTCTCATCAGGGTGGCAGAGCATTGGGGGGGGGACCGGGTGTTTCCTAAGAGGGAAAGAACCAACCAAAGGGCCGTTAAAGGGAACTTGTGGAATGGGGGGTGTGTGTGTGTGTGTGTGTATGGCAGGGGGAGGGAGAGGAGGAGGAAATCGTGTGTGTGTGTGTGTGTGTGGTGGGGGGAGGGAGAGGAGGAGGAAATCCCCCAAAGGACAACCAAAGGCGTCAGTGTCAAGAGTCAGCACAACCACAAAGGGAAAACGGCCTGCCTGAACCTGAACCCTTTCCGGGGCCGCCATCGGCTGGATGCCACAGGGACCTGAGCAATAAAGTCTCTCCCAGGCAGGGCGGTGGAACAAGGGCAACCGGTTCGTCCTGTTCCAGGACCCAAAGGCTCCAGCAACCCGAGAGAAAACAGCCAGGGCCGGGCCTTCTCCTTTCAGAACAGAAAACAAGTACCGTGGGTTGAGTCATGAACTTTCCAGCAGAGGTCAAAGAGAAGCCTGCCACCCTCCTGGCAGGTCCAGCACTTATGTGAATCAGGCCAGCCAACGGATCAACACCACGGGGCAAAATCTCCTTCAACTTAGGGCGGCATCCCCTCCCCTCCCCTCCCTCCTTCCTCGGACTCCATCTTGCTTTTGCCTGGGAATGCAGTTCGTCTGCATTCTGACCACCAGGAGGACACAGTTTTTGCTCCGGGCAGGGAAGGCGGCTGCTTGTGGCCCAGCCGGATGGGGCCCACGGGGCTGCTGAGGTGGACAGGAAGGAGGCGTTGGCCAAAGAAAGCGGCCCAAGCGCTCTCTTCTTGTACCTGCTGCTGCTTCTGAGCAAACTTTTATTTTCCTTAAATTACGAGGAACGTAGAGAAGCCAGAACAGCCACCATGCTTGGTAGGACTCCTCCTCTCCAGCCCGCCGTCCCTCGTGCCAGGCCAGCCTTGTCTCTCTCTCACAACCGGCACAGGCAGAAGAGGGTGGGAATGAAGACACCAAAGGCCACTAAGATAGGGAACATGAGGCTGCTGTTGTCCGAGGCGTAGGGGTTTGGTGTGCGGGGCCCGGACTGGACCCGGTTCTTATTGGCCTGCTTTTTAGTGCTGGATCCCTCTTCATACTCCTCTTCCTCTTCTTCCTCCTCTTTTTTTTCCAGGCCTGGGTGGGGCTGCAGCTTCGGAACATCTGTGGGAGGGAATTACACCAGGGTTTCCATCACATTAAAAAAACAAAACAAAAAACAGGCGTCCTTGGGCTAAAGAGGTGCATGTTTTACACAGTTCTAGCTGTCTGAGCCCACTCCCACGGCCAAGGTTTCCTCCAAGGAAATTGAGGGGTTTGTAGCACAGGGCAGGACTTGGCCAGGTCCCCGGGAGAGCTTCAGAGCTTCACCTCTCTGCATTAGGAAAGAGGACGCCAAGCACTTCGCAAATCCCTGGATTCCATAAGATGGATCCACAGCAGTTAAAAAGGCCTCCCTCTGCTGTAATGGCCTAGTGAAGATACACTCAAAGTCCTCAAGGCTAAGGAGAAACCTTTCACACGTTTCGTGTTTAAACCATGTGCTGATGGTGGCTCGATGTGAATGTTTCTGAGGTTTGTAGCATCATCCAGAGATACACAGCTACTTTTTGTGTATGGAGGAGAGCCTAACCCCTTTACTTCTGCCTGATGTGCAAGAGAAGCCACAAGTGGGACCATCAGGCAAAACGCCAGTGAGGGCAGGGAGAGAGTTTCCAGGTTTGATTCCACACACACACACTCCTCAAAGGCCAGCAGGTCAAGAAATGCCCCCAGCCCATGCCTGTTTCTCCCCCAACCCTCCATCTGGAGGAGGGCACTTTACGTGCTATTTCAAATGATTCTTCAAAAGCTTAACTACCAATATCCAAACCAGCCAGCGCCGAAAAGCTGGAGTCTGGCCTGCACAAGATTTGACTAGGCAAGCAAGCACTTAGGCACCCGTCCAGAGATCCACAAGTTACAGGACTTATGTTTTTAGGGCAGAACACAAAAAGCAGCCCAGAGTCCCCTCTGGGCACTGGTCCCACCCACCCGCCCGACAACTGGACACCTCTGGGAAGCCCTCAAGCAGCGTGTCAGGGTCTTTTCCTGCTCCTCTTCTGTGGCAAATGCTTTTCAGGAGGACAACCCGGGGGGAGAATAGAGAAGCAGAATAGGGGTCAAAAACAACTGTACAAATCCCGACAGGCAACTGGACACCTCTGGGAAGCCCTCAGGTAGTGTGTCAGGGTCTTTTCCTGCTCCTCTTCTGTGGCAAATGCTTTTCAGGAGGACAACCCGGGGGAGAAGAGAGAAGCAGAATAGGGGTTAGGGGGATGGCTGCTCCAGAGGTCTGTAAGGACCAACCAAGTAGGCCTGGGATGCTTCAAGCAGAGCAAGGCTGGTGGGTCCCTCAGGAGTCAGTGGCCGGCAGCAGGCAGGAAAGTCAACTGTTCAGGCAGAGCAGTTGCAAAAAGCACTTTGGAGCCAGAAAGAGACAACCTGAGTCTCTGAATGCACAGCGCAAGCCACTGGGCGGCAGATGGCACCAGAACGGGGCCTGAGGCCGTGACACCATTGCTGGTAAGCAGCCATTCATACCCCCCCCCCACAGTCACCTGGGGAAAGATACATATTGACTGGCTACAAGGTGAAAGACCAGGTGGACATGGGAGGGACGATGGAAACACTCACCGTCCACTGTGCCCGCGAGAACATAGAGTGCGCAGATTTTGGGATTATCATAGTACCCCTGCAGGGGAAACAAAAGCAGCACAGATCAGGATCATCCATTACCACCAATTCATGCAGAATGGCCTGCAATTCTGGGATGTGAGAAGCTGTCCAACACCTTGGCTGCGCTTACCTAGAGGTTTCTGGAGCTCAACCTTACACCCTCAACTGGAAGCTTAATGTATTATTTTAACTGGGTCTTCATTTGTTGTGAAATCATGGACAGAAAGCCAGCATGCCACAAGCCTGGCCTCTGATCACCCATCTACTGTAATGTGGGTTGGGAACAGAAGCTGCCTATTGACATTTATGAGTCAAGAAGCCCCAGTTTGAGAATACCACTGTACAATTACACACAAGGGAGCAGAGGCCAACTCTGTTACATCCAGGCAATGTGAAATAATAAAAAGTAGTGATTGAAACAAATTTTCCAAAGTTCTTGTTCATGCATGTTCTAAACCAGCTCGAATATTAAATCATGGCTGCTCTTATCCTAAGATACTGGTCTTAATGTCAATTCCCACTGACACGGGTACACCATCCTCCCAGGGTAACGTGTGTAACTCTCCTTGAAGGTGTGTGTGTGTGCGCACAGTGTCCTTCACATTTCCTAGCATGAATGGATGGCATCTCCTTGCGTAAATACAGAGGCATGCACAGGAAAGAGGCAAAACCTGTTGATCCGTTTTTGGCCAATGCCTCACTGTTCAGAACTAAGCCTCTCCTAAAAGTCTCATTCTGGGAAAGGTTTCTTCAGGCTGGGCTGCACCACATTGTTTGTTTGTTTCTGTGTGGGTGCGTGCGTGCGTGCAGAAGGCTTAGCAAAAAAGGAGGGATGAGCAAATCTATCTTGCAGATGGTAATCAACTGTGAACCTTGCATACCTTCGGCAACATGCAAAACTGAGAGTGAACAAGAGAGAGAGAGAGAGAGAGAGCGCGCACGCACACTGTGGGCATCTGCAGACCAAAGGCTCTCATTACCTTGACAAACTCAATGTTAAGCTTTCCCGTGAATGTTGAAACTTCTCCTTGGACACTCAGCTTCCCCTTCTTGATGCTAATAGGAATGATCTCATCATGAGCTGTGCTGTGTCCAACTCTGTCAAAGATGTCCAGGTCTTTCACCACTACGTGGCCATTCACGCGCACGTCAAAAACCTTTGGGGGGAGGGGAGGAAGACAAAGGAGACACATCTCCATTGGAGTGGCAGGTGGACCAGACTGGCCAACCATTGGCAGATCGCTAATTCCGAAAGCTCCTTGGGTCAGAGGCAGCAATGTCCCCTGGCCCTGCTGCAGCCATGTTCCTTAGTTACACAGAATTCTTCTCAGGAAGAAAGCAAGCCACTGCCCTCTCATCCTACCTCACGGAAATTCTGTGTAACTCAAAACGTGGCGTGCTTTGTCATCAACAGATGCTGACCTGAGGGGGACACCCTGTTACTAATTTTGTAACTCATCTTGCCAGCTTCTGAAACGACAGGTAACATGGTCAACACACCTCACTGGCAAAGTGAGCAAGACCAGTAACCCTCGTTTCTGGTTACAAAATAGGTGCTGCCATTTTTGGACAATGAACAGCCCTTTATTGTGGACAACTAGGATCCCAGGGACAGGGTTAGGGTTCCTCATTACAAACCACCTCCTCAAAGTCTTTGGCCAAGTCCTCAAAATGTTCAGAAATGTAAAGCTGTGGTTCTCCTGCCTTAGAATCAGCAAAGGAGAGAGAGAGGACTCATGCCTGCTACAGAACACATTCTCAAGGTCAGCTGATGTTCATGGCAATACCCGCAGGCCTCGAGGGCCTCTCAAAAAGCTCTTTTTTGCCCATGCAGATGAAACGGGGCAGCACAGAGTCACGCAGGCAGAGAAACCACATACCGTCCCCACCACCGCTGAGGATGACCTAGGCGTGGACCTCGGCTGGAGAAGAGGCTGCTTACCTTCTGCTGTGACTGTGCAAAATAGACCTCTGCAAACTTCAGCACCAGCACGTAGTCCCCCTCTTCCTTGATGGGCACCTCGTAGCCAAAGGTCTCCTCGTTGTAGCGTTCCGTCTGGTAAAGAATCTGATCTTCCGGGTTGGACCGCAAGATCGGCAGCTTCATGCCATAGTCGGAGGCTGTGTTCCAAAAATAAACAGTGACCCTTTCCAAGCGCCTTGCAGAGCTGAGCTTTCTTTGCGTGCAGAAAGCCTTCAGAAGGCCACCCCACACCTCCAGGTCCTCACCTGCCCCTTCCAGCAGCCCCATCCCAGCTAAACCCCTCCAAAGGGCTCTTTCGGAAGAACCATCCATCCGAGTAGAGCCTCTTGCGGACAAGGCCAGGAAAGCAGAGCACTTACGTGTACCCTGATTTCTCCTCCTGGATAATACTGGCTGGCTGAAGTCAAACTCTGGAAAAGTTACTTTTTTTGCATGGCGACTATCAAAATCTTGAAGCCAGCATGTCAAGCTATGGTTGAATCACAGTTCAAAGCACACCCTGATACAGGTGAGGGAAGAGATGTGAGACCTCTGTGCCAGGTCCTCGGCACTCACATGGTACCAGCTGAGACTGTTGTTCTCAAGCTACAAACGCCAGTTGAAACTGAGAGCCTGTTCTCTTTAGGGAACACTTGCTGTGCTTCCCCACTGCGTCCATGGCAGCTAAATGAGAACTTTTTCTACATTATTTTCCCTTCGTAAAGGAGAGCTTCAAAGTGCGAGTCAATGAAAAATGGAGAAGACCTTTGCAAACGGCTTGCCTACAACAGGGCTACAGAACACCACATTTTCCTTCCCTTTACCTGGCTGGGGATTCCTGCATGCCACACTGGCAGGGGCACTCCCCGCTGCTTCTGTTACTGAATGATCAGAGAATGATGGGAGAACAGCAAGGTACAGGGAAATTTTGCCAGAAGACATGAGACAGCTGTATTCTAGGGGGGTTTCCATTGAAGAAATGACACCAGACGGCCTGCAGTTTGCCTGTAACTTTCTATTAAATGTCTGCGCCTGGCATTGCCATGGCCAACCAGGAGTGTTAAGCGAGTTCATCTTACACAGAAATCCTTGCAATTCCCACGAGATTTAAACCCTCTCTAGACAACCAACAAAGGAATTGACCTGTTGTGTAACTGCCCGGTTCACTGCTCCACCTTCTGCTGCAACTCCTGCACTGGGTGCTATCCAAACAGAGGCACATCAGACACATACACACAACTATGCAAAAGCATGGCAGAATCCTCCTTTTTTCAGAGGAATCTGCCCAGTGCACAAGCCTCCAACACATGCACTGCGCTCCTCAAGAGTCACACGAGCTTACACAGATTTAGACACCAGAAGTAACGATTTTCTGTGTAATAAATAGAGCGGGCTCCCATCCAGTGCACAAGCCTCCAACACATGCACTGTGCTCCTCAAGAGTCACATGAGTTTACACAGATTTAGACACCAGAAGTAACAATTTTCTGTGTAATAAATAGAGTGGGCTCCCATTTTTTGTGTCAAGATGAACTGAATCCGGTAGCCTTCACTAGCAGAAATCAGAAGAAAACTCTGATTGTTCTTTCAAGTAAGCCCTAGCAAAAGGAAGAAAACGGAAACCACAATCTATGCACAAGATCCATGCCTGCTGCCCTAGCAAAAGGAAGAAAACGGAAACCATAATCTATGCCTGCTAAACTAGAACAAAAATGGAGATACCTTTCAAGCAGTAGCCAAAGAGAAAGGTTTCACAGAGAACCCATATCAGTGAGCAGGAGGAAATTAAAACCCTTTCAGACTAGAACAAATGGATAGCTGTACACCTGCATGCTTTCTCCTTCCCACAAAGCAAAGAAGATGACCTTTCCACCAGTGGTGGTTTTTGGAAATGTTACCTTCCAAAAAGTCGCTGGCTTTCAGCATAACACTCAGAGTGCACAAAGCTGCCTCTTTTTTGGAAGAAGTCCAATCTGCTTGTACCGGAATCCTCCACCCCCACCATCAACTCCCATTTCAACACCCTCCAACACACACTGGTGGACATTTCACCTCGCTGTTACCACCCAGGCAAAGGAGTCCATACACAAGTGCGTCAATTTCTCTTTCTTCTCCATTTATGCAAGTTTCTCAGGCTCTGCAGACTTTGTTCTAAACTGTAAACCACAGAAAAGCAGAGCCCAAGCAAAGGAAATGCAAGTGACCTTGCCGCGTTATCTCATCATAAGAGCTTCCAGGAAAGCAAGCGGCACACAGCATCCAGGATACTTTCCAAACTTTAAGGAAAGGTAGCAAAGTAGACAAGAGGGCAGAGGTGCGGCGTAGACTCACTGGTTCTACATGGAACTAAGAAAAGCAGGCAGCAGTTAGTGGAAACGAAGGGCAACACATACAACCCGTTCCATATGGTGAGGTGCACGAGTGCACTCACAAGCAACCCGTCTGAACCTCCTTTCTTCCTCACCCTGCCTTTGTAAGAGCTCCACCACAGCTTACTGAGAGAGGAAGAAAAGCAGGTGGAACTCAGCAGCCGGAACCCACCAGCCGCCAGAACTTTCCAACTCACCACCCTGGGCCTCACCAAACCCCTTGCAGAGGACAGGAAAAGACCGAGATTTGCAGGCAGAGGCCAGAATTGGAAAGCATCTGGCAAACACCCCCCCCCAGGGTCTCCTTTGCTCCATGACAGCTAATATTGGTTTCTGGAAAGGTCTCTATGGCTGGCAAGCAGCAACTGCACACCCTAGAGGAGGCATCAGCTCCAACTAGACCTCCTTGCTGTCTTCAAACCCCAAACGGAATGAACTGCATGTCCATGAGTGCTGAGGCTCATCAGCTTTTGTTTGAAAAGCCACAGCCATCAGAAGCGCAAGAAGGGGCTTGGGTCCTGTTTTTGGTGTACAATGCAGATCAGAACATGAGCTCTGTGCACTGAGAATTTTACTTCCAAGAATGTTTTGCTTCTACTAGCAGAAGAAAGCTTCTAGCCTTTATGAATGCACAACAGTTATCCTGCCCGATCATTTCTAGCCCTCAGGAGGCGAATTGAAATCAGGGAGGATGGCCTTGCAGATGAAGTCTAACAATGAGCTTCAGTGTAAAATGAGCTAGCAATTTATTTATTTATGTCCTTATTGTGCACAAACTAGCATGATGGGAGATCTTGAGTTTGCTTCAATACAACAGACCTTGCTCTCCGCAGGCAGAAAGTTTTCTGCAATGTGATCACAAGAGCAAGACCTTCATTATAGGCAGTAAAATTACATCCTGCCTCTCCAAAAGCCTGTGACTGTGAAGGAAGATGACAGGCAAGATCTGTCTTGCACAGGGTTGCTGAGCTCCCCTCCCCTCCATCATGCCTTCTCCCCTGTCAGCAGGAGTTCAGAGGGAGTTGTGGGGAAGCCCAGGGCGCACCAACCCCTTGCAAAAGTCTCTCTCCAGCCTAGTACAGACTGATTACTTGTCTGTTCACAGAACCAGGAAGGAAGACCCAGCAGAAGTCAAGACACAGAGGCGAAGGAATTTGGACTAGACCAAGGGAGAAAAGCTCCTGCCCAGACAGAATGAGTGCTGCCTCCATGGGCCACCTGAACCCACACGAAAGGCAGGCAGGAAAGAAAGTCAAAGAGGAGAGGCTCCAGGCACATCAGCTGAACTCAACACAAGGCCTCCTCCACGGCTCTCCTCTATCAGAGCACAGAAGAAAAAAATCAAAAGAAAAGAATTTTGGGGTGGGAGATTGGTGTTTTTTTTAAATTATGCCCAATGTAAGACGTTAGAAACAGTTGGAAAAGCGCAGCCACCAACGGCTCCCAGAAAAAGCACCCGAGGTGAGGGGAGGCCCCTGTGGCAATCATTTAGCAAAGGCAACCGCCACCTGCCAGCAGCCTAACCACAAAGAAGAAAAAAAAACGGCAGGCTCCATTTCCAGGATGCCACCTCTGCAGTTCCCCATTCATAAGCGGGAGGGACCTCCAGAGATAAGAGGCAATGCCCGAAGGGGCAAAGTCCAGCCAGGAGTTTAGAAAGCAGCCTGGGCAGAAGGAGGGAGCAAGTTTAGGTGGGGAGGAGTAAAAATCCAGGTGCGGGAAAGGAGTGGAGAGGAGGGAAGGGGGGAGCGAAGACCAGGCCCAAGGGAAGGAGGGCCATGCAGTGAAGAAAGGGGGGCAGAAGGTGCAAGCGTTCAAGGTCAGAGGGAGTGGCGCCTTCCTCTCAACGCCTGGCAAAATGGAGAGATGGGCCCTTGCTTACATTTCTGCTCCCATCCAGAGGGAGAATTGGCATTTATATTTATTTATTTATTTGTTTGTTCAATTTATATCCTGCCCATCTGGTATATTCTACCACTCTGGGCATTCACACCAGGAAGACAGAACAGGGGTGGCTGCAACATTTGCTGCAAAATGTACAGGTGGGGGTAGCAGAAGTGGCAAGTGGGATCAAAAAGCCATCCCTCAGAGAGGCAAGGAAAGTGGGCAGGCAGGCAGGCAGGCAAGCCTGGAAGAGCAAGGGGGAGCAGCGACAGGATCCAGGATGGCATAAGGCTGCAGGGGAGGAAAATGGGGCCGGAGGGCGGACTATATTCTAGTCACAGAATTTAGGACAGAAGTGGGACCTGGCGGAGAGGATGTGCCTAGCAATATGGCCACCTGACATTTATGCAAAACGCTGGAGTTTCCCCAAGGGCTTCGCTTACATTCCTACAGTAACCGCCACAATGACTCTACAAAACAGATTCTTCTCATTATCAGCACATCCATTTTGCTGATGTGCTGCTGACTGTACCATGGCGTGATCAACACAACTGTGGCTCCAATCCTAAGCACACTGCCCCCGCGGCTGAGAATCCCAAGGGCTCTACTACCTCAGCTCCTGGGCCAACGGGATTCACGCCAACCTTGGCCTTCTATTCAGATTCTGCAGCTGGTCCAATGAGTCTGACCTAGTCAGTAAAACCAAGTGGGTTCAGGCCAAGAGGATTCACTCTGGAGCACTCGTGAGCAGGGGCTGCACGGCTAGGAAATCCTTTGCTCTGATAAAAATTTTGAACCACATTTTCCAGCCCACATCCTTAGCCACAGATTGTTCTACACTGTTCCTGGTGCAAGTGTTGGACTCAGGAGACCTGGGTTCAAATCCCCACTAGGCCATGGCAATTGATGTGAAGAGCAGCAGCAATAAATCCACGCCTTACATGTCTCAAACCAGCCAGAAGTGACTCAATAACACACTACATACACAAATGGCGACATAATCACTTTTAGCCAAGAGCAGGGAAGCTATTTCTGCCTATTCTCCTGCAGTAACCAACCAGGATGCTACTTTTCCCACTAAACAGCACTGTTCATTTAGATTAGTTACATTCAACTGAGTCGAACTGAGAGAGCATGGCCTCGCTGTCAGGCATGTGTAGAAAGGAGTCTGGGGCATTTTGTACCCTTGCAAGACGTGGTATTCAGAGACAGACTCTCTCTGTACCCGCAGGTTCTATCTTGGTAATCGCCACCAACAGACTTGATCTTATCTGCCAACCCTCCTAACCCGATGCCACTGCCACCGGCTGGGGCCTTTGCACCTCCCGGATGCTGCAAGTTCCAGAAGTGAATTACAACTGATGTGATGATGACTTGCTCTCTGACTCTATTCTCTCTGGGGCAATGGAAACTTTTTTTGGGGTGCATGGGGGAGGGAGACCAACACTCCGGAGAGCCCACCTCCACCACAATCTCTCTGTGTGTGTGTGTGTGTGTGTGTGAGAGAGAGAGAGAAATCTCGATAAAGGGAACTTTTCCAACTTTCACCTCCTCCCCCGCTTGACACGGGGGAGGGGAGCGCAGGCCCAGAAGTCTGAAAAATCCCGGTCGCCCCTGCAGAGCTCGGGGTGGGGAAAGCGGGGGCCCTCTGGATCCTGCGGGAGGCCCGCTCCCATGGGCCACAGCCAAGGAGGAAGGCGAATGGGCACTGCAGTCCCGCAATATCCGGAGGACAACCAGGTTCTCTCCCCCCCCTGCACCTGGCGGCCACCATGCCTCTCTTTCTGGGATTCTGGACGTCGCAGGCCCCCCCTCAAGGGAAGGTTCTTTCCCTCCCCCCTCCCCAGGCCGGGCCGGGCGCATCTGGTGGCCAGGCGTTCCACCGGCGGCCAGAAGTGCTCACCTCGTCCCACCCGTCCTTCGAGGGGGTCCTTCCGGAAGTGGATGCCGTGGACGTCGACGTGGGCCTCCCCGCCGGCGTTCACAGCCCAGATCACGCTGTCGGCCAGGCCGGCCCCTTCCACGCCGGGAGGCGGCGGGGCTGCCAGGAGCAACACCAGCAGCCAGAAGAGCAGGGAGCCGCCCGGCGGCGGGGACCCCCCGGCCCCGGCCATCGCTGTCTCCTTCCTGGCGCCTCACTTCGGTCGCGGTCCCACTGCCCCGACGCTGCCGCCTTCGCGCCCCCCGAGACGCATCCCGCCCGGCCGGCCGGCCGGCCTCTCGCTCGTTCCCTCAACTCGCCTGCCTGCCTGGCCTCCTCTCACGCCGACGCCTCAGCCGCAAGGGGGCACCCGAACCCGCTAGCTTTGCCGGCTCCCCGCCTCGCCGGCCAATGGCTGCGCCACGTCGCGGCCCCTCGCCTCCCCGTTGGCTGCCCGGGGGCCGCTATTTGCATAGCGGCCAGCCCGCCAGCCCATAGGCGCTCGCGCGCGCAACGTACGTAGGCGCCACGTTGGAGGCGGGGGGAGCAAGTTGCGTTGCAGTGGAGAGGGCTGCGGAGAAGACGGTTGGGGCGGACCATCTGTTCCGATTCTGGGGGGGGACGAAGAGGTTGTTCTTAAACATTTCCCGTCTTTCACCTTCTTACCAAGAGCGGGTGGCGCGGTCTATTTCGTTGCAATCAAAACATAAGGCGTTTAACGTTTTAGGTTTCTCTCCAGGACGCCTCGCTTGCCCTTGTTTTCATTCTGCAAGCCCGACGCGACGACCAAGCCCCGCTTTGGCATCCTTTGCCTAGAACCAGCCCTCGGCACGATTGATCTCCCCTCCTCCTCCTCATCCGGTGGTACAGCCCAAGACGGGCTGCCCAACCAGGAATCTCCAGCGCGGCTTGAGCGCGCGGGGGATTGTGGGGGCAGAGGGAGGAGTAGAAACCGGAAGCCCAACTCTAGGGGCTTGTAGGCCTGGCCATCGTCATGGCAACCGTCCGACTCTCGAGTTAGAGGCGGGGCCTCGTTGCCTCCCTGTTTCTTATGTGCCACCAAGTCGTTTCTCATTTGTCCCCGTGTTAGAAAGCTCTGGAAGAATAAGAGTGGTGGCCGCTCAGCCTCTTCTTGGGGGCCCCGCAAGATGACGAATGCATGAAGAAAAGGGAGCCCCTGAGCGCGTGCAGAGCGCCTGCCCTTGCCCCCCCCGTCCCCCGTGCTCGGACATCCTCGAGCCCCCTTCGCCAGCATCAGAACACTTTCCCTTATCGGGAAAAAGGCGGCCGATCAATAAAATAAAACGAAATGTTCCAAGACACGTTGCTCCTCTTAATTCCGAGTTTTCTTTTCCTTGGGGGGCGGAAGATCGGGGAGGAGGAAACCGAGGCCGTGGGGGGGGGGGAGAGAGGCATAAACTCCAGGGTGCATCTAAACCCAACGGGACCTTCATCCTGTGCCTAGTCCCTGCCAGAGGAGGCCAGCTGGATTAAAGAGATTGACCTCTTTATTGATTGATTTCAATTATTTTTATCCCCTCCTGTGTCCTTAAGAAGGACCCAAAGCAGCTTTCCACAACGAAAAGACTATTTAAGATTAGTAATGATGACTATACAATACTGGAAGGATCGAGGAATGCACTACCAAAAACCAGAAGCAACCCAAAAATACATCCAGTGCCTTAAGGCTTAAGGGACAACCATCTTGCCTGCGATGCAATGGATACAGTCTCGGTTGGGACTAGTAATAGGGTACTGGACAATATGCTGACTTTAACATCGGGAGTTATTTTATTTTATTTTATTGCAAAGCCATAAACATTGATAGAATCGACTGTTTTCCCCGAGGACCCTATTCAAGTCCTAAATCCTAAAATTCAAATCCTAAAATTAAAAGTCCTGCAAAAAGCACATCACCTGCATCTTTTTTGTCAGGGTTTTCCGGTGATGGAAACCTTGAATGCTCACTTCCCGCATTCCTCATGCTGTTATCACCTTGCAACTCATTTCCCGGTGCTGCTATGCAGGGTTCTTTCCATTTGACCCCCCTCCCCACTTATCTTCGTCATCACCATGGATACTGCCTAAAAACCAGCGACCCAGATATGGCATTCCATATTTATGAGGAAGTGGACTGCAGTCCAGGAAAGCTTACACGGAAAGGCATTTATTGCTCTCAGAACTGCTATCTTATTGTTTTTTCTTTCTTTTTCTTGGTATGAAGATCATCTCTGATTGTGCTGACCTGGTCAGAGAAGGAGTTTGTGTCCATCCGGACGTAACTGTTCCTCCACCGAGGGAGAACCTCTTGTCTCCTGGTCAGTTTCGAGGGAGGGAGGGAAGGAAGAAAAAAAATTTAGTTTTTGTCCATGTCTTCGTAGCCTTTCTGCTGTGAGAGGATGGACCACTCACGGACATGGTAGCTGGCCTCAAAAGGATCACACCCACCTGGACCCAAGCAAAGTGGTACAGCCATAGGGCCAAACCTCTTGGGATGGCATGGCAAGACTCTGTGGACACCTTCCTCCATTCCTCGAGGATGGCCATGGTCTGTATCTTCATAGGAATCCCCACCCAGGAGCCCAATGGCAGCTTCGGAGTAAGGCACCCCCCCTGCAAATCCAGGGAATCGGCTTGAGCTTCCCGTCTCCTTTGGGCAACCGAAAGCAGAGATGCTCCTCAGAAAGAGAGGAAGTAAAGAAGCAATGGCAACATCCCCATAATTATATTGCAAGCAATTCTCTTTTTAGTGGCCGTTAAGCTGCTCACCAGGGTTGGCGAGAGAGATAAATTTTTCATTTGCTCAGAACAGGAAAACAGCAAAAACTGAAGGGGAAAGCCCGAGCTGCTTATTTTCGCGCACAGAATGAATGCCGAGCGTGCGGCAGATGTTAAATGCTACTTAAGGAAGCTGTGAGGAAGTAATAAGCCTGGCTATTAACAGGATGGCAGTCTATTCTCCAAAGGACCAGGCAGTATTCTTTTCCTCCCCGTGTTTCCTTCCACGCTCTCCAAAGAAGGAGAAAAGTGTCAACAGGCACAGAGGGTTCTTTTCCTCCACTGGGATTTCCATTCTGTTAGATTTCGGTCTTTGTGTCAATGTCGGAAGGATGCATTCAGTCATTAGGCCTGGTGCAGGTTTCCTGAAAACGTACGTTCAAGTTGTTGGGAAACGGAAATCCACCGAGGAGCAGCGTCTGCACAGATCCAAACCCTGGCCTTGCGGAGGGCATTTAATGAGGAGGGAGAGGAAGGGAAGGTGAAGTCGGGATGGAAAGGGGAAGGAAAAGGCTGCTAGCAGGCTCCGGGGCTGCCTTGGGCCTGCCAAGAGAAGCCTTTGATCACTGCTTTTTCACTCCAGACGGTGTTGTAAATTATTCAGAGTGCTTTTCAAAGCCTGTGGAGAACATCTGGCATTTAAAGCAACAGCAGCCACGGACAGCTGAATTACTTCGGTGACATGGCTCTTCATCATGCGCAAGGACCAAAGACTCTGTAATGAAGCGGTGGGGAGAGAGGGAGGGAGGGAGGGAAGGAAGGAAGGAAGTCTTTTGAAAGTGGCCATTGACCAAAGTGTTGGAACCCCCCCCCGCATCACTAGGGAGACAGGGAAGAGGCGCTAGGTGGAGCTGTGCCATCGCAAATTTCGTTGCCAACCTTTCCTGCTTGCAGGAGTCATCATGGGATGGGGACAGAAAATAAGGGAAGGTTACTTTTTTTTGACCACAATCCCCATAATCCCTCAAAAAACCCCTCCCAAAGGAACTTTCCCAAGCTCTGGAGAGGGGGTGCCCTCTAATTCCAGCCCAGAGCTTGCTTGCATTTGTGTCATCTCTGGCCAGCCGTCAGCCGACCTCAGCTTTCATGGCTCCAGATCCAGGCAGGACCGTTTTGCATAACATGCAAACAAGGGGGGCTTATTTGCATATCATGCAAATACACACGAGTTCTGCCCTTGTTTTTCTACCAATATACTTCCACCTCGGTGTCATTGACATAATAATAGTCATGGAGCGGAGAGATCCAGGAGAGTGTAATCGTTGGAGTGATGGTTTTGCAAAAAGGAGTCCTGAGTTCCAATTCCTGCATAATCACAAAGTTCACTTGATCCCTATGGGATCACCACTGACTTTCAGCCCCACCTGCCTTATCGGGCTGTTTTTGAGATAAAGCAGGGAAGAGGAAACATCATGTAAAGTGCCTGCGTACATTGCCGGTGTCTATGATTGAATAAACAGTGTTTGCTATCCTCGGAGCACTTGGTGATTTTTAATCACAACACATAGGTTAATCGGCTCATCTACGCCATGATCCTGGAGATTTCACTCAATTATTGGCCAGAATCTTGTGTAGTAAATTGCATTAGAGTAGGCCTATCAAATCAATAGGGATTTAGTGAGTTAGATCATCTGCAATTAATGCAAACAGCCCTATTCTGTGTCTTACTATGCTAAAGTTACAGTTAGAGTAGGTCCATTTGAATCAGTGAAACGTAGGGAGGCATCGACTCAGCAAACCCTTGTTGGTTCACTGAGCCTGCTCTAGGCGAAGCATCAGGATTTTGCCCGCTGTTTGCTAATGACCAGATATGGCAGCCAAAGAGGAGAGAGAGATGGGTTAGCTGTATTAGTTTAAAAAGTACTGGACGGCAAGAAGTGGGTTCTAATTCTGCTTGACTTTCATAGTGAAGATAAAATGGGAAGAAGGAGCGCTTCAGACCCTGTTTGAGGTCACTGCAGGACTGTCAGAATATACATGTAATCGTGGCTTTGTGGAGATTGGAACTCAGCTCATTTGGAATAGCTGGGCCCTGCCTGCCCTTTCCAGCCATCTACGAAGAGCCCTCTGCTAACTTATGGTAATTCTTAACACTTGAGTGGGATGCCGAGTAATTCCATTTAAATTAAAGAAACCATTTCTACTTTGGCATCTTTATAGAACAATTCGCGTGTGCGAATTTATGTACCTCAGTACCCCACTTTTCAGTGACCAGGACAGTGTCCGAATGATTCCTTCGGAGCTGTGCATATACGCTTCTTCGTTCTACAACATCGGAGTTAAGGGTGCCGGACCCTTCTGTAGATCAGAATCCACGTATAACTCTGATGTGCAAAGCATAAAGTGTTGATTCACCCACCCACCCAGAGAGAGAGAAAAAAAAAAACAGTTCTGTCTATGGGATTCCTTTCCAAAGCATTGACAACCCTTCCCATACAGTACCATGCATAGAGACAAGAAGATCATTTTGAGACCTTCAGTGTTGAACTCAAGGGGTTCTGGGTAGCCCGGGGACACAGTATTTATTGAATATTTATTTATTTATTGGAAAAAAATCTGTGTATAACCGAAACCGTGCGGCTCAGAGCCATGCAATCCAAGGAAGAAGTGCAATTGCTTAAGAGAGAGAATTGGAAGCCCACGTCATCTCACTCATCTGCCATGCCAACATCCCACACCAAGCCACAGAAAATGGGCGATGCTGCCTCCCCCCGCCCCTTCGTTGGCAGACCTGAGAGAAGCCTTGTTAGGGCTCATTTGCACTGATTAGAGCCAATCCTCATTAATCCCTGAAGATCTTCCAGCTTAAACTGCGAGTGGTCTGGGTCAACAGCCCAGCCGTTCCAGCACTTAAAGGTGTCTGGAATCGTAGGTCGTGGGAATTTATGATTAGCCCAGAAAGGGAAATTAAGCCGGTGTGATCCCATTGGAAAGCGGGGGGTCGGACGGCTGCTTAAAACGCTACCAAAAGATGTGTTGCCCAAAAGGGGGGAGGGGGACCCCCAAAGTCCAGGCTTAAAACGGCACTGGCTAATTTCTGTAGAAAGATGACCAAGTGGAAATGACTTCAATAATTTAAATAGAATTCCTCTGCAGCTCGCTCCAGTGTTAAGGGTAAGTGCAATTCACCGGATGGCCATAAGCCAATCCTTAACTTCCACCTGACCTTCCTTACAGGGCTGGGTTTTTTTTTTTCAAGATAAAGGCAGGGAGAGGAAAGCCATTTCGCTTCTACGACTCTCTGCACGGCACAAGGAATTTTGCCAGCAACTCAAAACTGTGCCACAGCTTTAAGGAAGATCACTCCCATTAAAGCAATGTTTTCCGGTGCAATCCTCTGAAGAAGAACCAATGTACCACCCTTTAATCATCTTTTCTCCAGGCTAAACATACCCATGTTTTCAGTCTCCAAAACCCACAGCTAGGCTCATCATCCTGTTCTGGACACCTTCTAGTTTGTAATGTCCCAGCGTCTGTACAGGGCCGAGAGTGTGCTTCGTATCCCGGAAAGTCGGACGGGGTTCCTTGAGGCTTCGTTCCGGGCACAGAAAGCTTTAAGCTGAAATCTACTGGGAGTTTTTGCCTTGTGCTCCATCCACTCTTGGGATGCAGATTCCCCCCCCCCCAAAAAAAAATTAAAGGTCTCTGAATTTGTCCCTCTGGCTGAAAATGGACCCTCAACTCTTGAATGGAAAAGTGTTAATTTCAGTTGCTTTCAGACCCTGCGATACTCCAGGGCCACTGCTTCCACCATTCCCCCCCCACACACAAACACCCTGTATGGGTTACGGAGGCCCCTCCACCCAGATGTGCTCTGCATCTGCCCATCGTGTCTGAGAGGCGGCAGCGAAAGGGACGGCCTTGAAAGATTTGCAGTTTGGAATGATTCCGCCGCAAGGCAATTTAGGCTCAAATGATGAACCCCGAGTCCTTTCTCAGTCGCCACCTCTAAACCATCAAAATGCCCAAGCTTTTTAACATGATGATCTGAATCTTCGGGTTTCTTCTTTGCCTTAAAAAATGTAAAATGTGTGCACACAGAGAAAGAGACACCCCCCCCTCCTTGGCCAAAAATAATAATGATGCTGGGATGGTCGAACTGTGGGCTAGCACTCTCTCTCTCTCTTTCTTTCCCTGCTTAATTTTGTTTCCAGAGATTTGCGTTATACGGAGATAATGGCCCACTTTGGTCTTCTGCAAAAAGGTGGCTTTGACCTGGTGCTTTTCCTGGTTATTGCTTGGCTGATCCTCGTGATATGAAGACTCTCGAGCAAGACTTGAGAAGGGACACAGGGGGCTTGTACTTCCAGGGAGGAGAGAGTCGGCACACAAACCCTGCGTGAAGAACAGTCCAGGTTCAATGGGTAAAAAGGTTGCACCGCTGAGAGCACAGGGACCCGATCACACCTGGGGAACGCTAGAGACAGGCTAACTGCCGGGCTGAGGAAATGGTCGGAATGGGGTTGAGGCGCCCATGAAAAGTCATCTCTTGGGGGGTGGGGGTGCTCTGTTAGATCTGCTGAAGAATAAACCTTTTATTCTTTTTCCTACTAATGTCTCTGAGTGAGTTACCGAGACTCATCCGTGGATGAGGAAAGGGGTGGACTACTTTGGGGAACTTAAAGCTATTCTGCTCAGTGAATCCCTACATTTCTGCTGCACAGCTAAAAGAATTCAACCCAAAATCTTAAACTCTGCAACAGTCCCCCCCCTTGTGTGATCGTGACCGCAGGACCTCCGTCATCAAGCTTCCCTCGTTCTCATTGCATCGCTGATGCTGCACAAACCACCAAATGGTTCTGAAGGCCTGCAAGCCGTGACCCCCGCCTCCCCCCCTTGCACAGAAGCACACAGGCCCTTACAAAGCTGGTGTCTTTTGTTTTCAAACATATATTTGATCTCATGAACATAACCACAGGGAAAGAAGAGAACATTCCAGGCTGGTCTGGGTGGGTGGGTGTCATAAATAACTCTGTACAGGTGGAGACACAAGGGCCGGGGGCCGGGAACAGTCTGTTCACCGAGGAAAAAAACGGGAATGAGCGCAGTCTACCGCAGGCACCGATCGCATAAGGCGCCCGTTCCAGAGAGAACCTCTCCTTCTCGTTGCTTTGTCGGAAGAGTAAAAGCCGGGAAGGGAGAGGAGGAGGAAGAGGAAGAGGCGTCTTCTTCGGTCCCGAAGACTCCGTGGCTGGTCCGGGTGCGCAGCTGCCCTGCGCAGAGCTTCTCTTGAGGAGCACTTCCAGTTGCAGGAGAGGTGGATCTTTCACAGTGCAGAAAGGTGAAGGAATGTCGGGGCCACGTGGGTCACAGAGGCAGGCCGTTGTGGCAGCTCGCGCCCTCTTGGGGACGCAACCGAGGCGTCGGCCTTGGCGCACGAACATCCGCGTGGAGATGCTCCATCCGGGCCCTCTTTTACTTTCTGGCGCTGATTCGTCTTCAGCCCCCAAACCTGGCTTCAGCGGGACATCATCCTGACGAACTCTGAAAACAAGACAGGGAGAGGGGCAGAGAAGCAGAACAATTATATCCCCCTTGTTTTCATGCCTATCATGTGCACGTTCAATGGTTGTTTTCAAGCTGTGGGACCTGCTGCGTGTTGTATTTGTTGGAAGGACCCTCGTCTTTTCACCGCTTAGGGTCTCCAAGGGTCTTCGACTGGCTCTGAACATCAGGTTGCCTTGCGTGTGGTGGGGCGTGGGAATGGGAGGAAATGTCCAGGTTGAAGCGCACAAGGGCCATGTCAGGGTGCGATCCGATGTGTGGAAAGTCACAGGCCTGGTGGCAGCAGAAAAGGTTGCTATAATGGGAGCGATCAGCCAGTAAATCCCTCCAACCCAACTCCGAGAAGTCAATGTCCTACAACTGGATCCAAAAAGGTCCACCTCAGCCCAGAGCAGGCATGTCATGTGATTGTTGGGAAATAGATCACACCGGAAAAGACCCTGATGTTGGGAAAGTGTGAAGGCAAGAGGAGAGAAGGGGTTGACAGAGGAGGAGATGGATGGACAGGGTCATCGAAGCAACCAACATGAATTTGACCCAACTCTGGGAGGCAGTGGAAGACAGGAGGGCCTGGCGTGCTCTGGTCCATGGGGTCACAAAGAGTTGGACACAACTTAAGGACTCAACAACAACAAGATCACACTGGACTGCTTCACAAGGAGACGCTCTGGGGACCCTGACCAGTTGTAGTTCATCCCCCCTCCATCCTCCACACATCCATTGTTACATTGGAAAAGAGACAGATAAAATTAAAAATATTTCCTTTCTACAAGCACAGAGGATGCTCTGTGACTATCATGGGGAAACGGGCCAAGGGTCGATTTCCGGAATGTCCCTTCACAAATCCCTTGCCAATCCTTTTACGGAATGGATGAAAACCACCCCAGCATTAATGGCCACCAGCCCAAGGCAGGAGGGCCCCCCCCTCAGGGACGGGGAGGGAAGCTGAGGGCTGCTTCGGCTCTAATCGCCTCACAACACGAGATCCGAGTTTTTGTTCCGCAAGGGAAGCTGCGACTCTTCCAACAGGGCGTAAGAACCGAACAGGAACTAATGGCCTCTTCGGGGCATGAAGAACGGCACAGATCTCATTTGTAAACCAACTGGGGTGGACCCATTGAAATCAATGGGGCTTACATAAGCGCTGACTAAAACATCACCTTCATGGCCATCAGCCTGCTCTAGATGGGGTTGGAATTGGATTAAACCCTAAAAAAAAGGGAATGGGGGATTTGGAGAAATTCCCATTACAGGCGAAATTCAATGAGCTTGAAAGCCTTCCACAGCTTGCGGAGGCAGGACGGCAGGATCCGAGGGCCATTTGGTCCGGGAGAGAGCAGGGGATAACTCAGGACAGAGCTATTTCAGTGACACCCTCCCTCCCTCCTTTTTTTCCTTGGTCCCTTTGTCATCTTTTCAGTGTCAAGTGAAGCTTTTTAATTTAACCAATTGCCTAACACCTCCGGCTCTTCCAAACGAATAAATTTGCTTTCCTTAAAGTATTGGACTCTGCCCTGACATTTTAAGTATTTTTTTCCACCATTCCATATATCATGACCCCTTCATGTAGTGCTTTTTTCCCCTGTGACTTTCCGCTCCTTTCCAACCCTGCTAAAAGCAGGAGCTATTTTTAGTAACCTTCTGCATCAGGTGCTGAGTTCGAGACTTCCAGTTTCAGCACTCTGGACTGAAGGCTTTCCGTGGGCATCGGGTGAGCACTCCCATTTAAATAAAGAGAGAAGAGGCTCCAGTAGAGAAGCTCCAGCAGGTAAGTGGATTTCTTGAAAATGTCATAGAATTTCATAAAATTTTCTTCATGGGAAGTAACATCGCTTTTTAAAAGGAAAGCTTGGATGCCAAATCTGGTATGAAACCCCCACACCTTCACAAATGAGAGAAAGCAGGATAAAAGTCATGCTCTTTTTAGGAGAGTCCTAACTAATTAAACAGAAAGACAAACAAAGGAAAAAAATGGAGCCAGAGTCGTTAGGGGCTGTTGAACAATCAATGTTCCCTAATGTGAGAAATCATGTGGAACTACCTGAGACTTGACCTTCTTTTAGGAACAAGCTCCCCACCCCCCTTGGCAAATCATTATTTTCCCTCCCTCACCTTCAAAGTCCACCCGCCCATCTCCGTTCAGGTCTACGTCGCGTATTATGTCCTCGATGTCCCGGTGGCCCACTTGCTGTCCAAGGAGCTTCTTCATGGCTTCCCGCAGTTCGTTGGTGCTGATCTCCCCATCACCGTTGGTGTCAAACTACGAGGAAGCGAATAGTCCCTCTCAGTAAAATAGTGGACGCTGGTACAGACCCTGGAATCTTATCTTCCTAGGTTCCTTCTTCTATGTAACCCTCCAAGCCAGATCCCTTCGTCCCAAATTAAAAATAAAACGAAGCCCTGTTGCTAAGCGTAGTAGTGAATTGCACTGGATTTGGCCAACCCCTGCGTATGTTCCACTGACTCCAAGGGGCTTTACTCTTCCGTGACTAAACCACAGGATTTCAGTCCCTGCTTCTGAATTTATTTACATCGGCTATTTTCACATGCACACGATAAGGTGCCTCATTTACCACTTTTGGCCTTATTTACGTGGACGCTGGTACAGACCCTGGAATCTTACCTTCCTAGGTTCCTTCTTCTCTGTAACCCTCCAAGCCAGAGGATTCGTACAGCAACTCCCCCCACCCCCATTCTAAAAAAAATAAGCCCTGTTGCTAAGCGTAGTAGTGAATTGCACTGGATTTGGCCAACCCCTGCGTATGTTCCACTGACTCCAAGGGGCTTTACTCTTCCGTGACTAAACCACAGGATTTCAGTCCCTGCTTCTGAATTTATTTACATCGGCTATTTTCACATGCACACGATAAGGTGCCTCATTTACCACTTTTGGCCTTATTTACAAGAGCCGAGCAGGGCGGTTGAGGGCAGGACATTTGGAGATGGCTCATTCAAGGGTTCACCCTCGGTCGGGAGCGACTCCACACCACAGAACAACAGCAAACATCTGAACAACCACTGTGAGAAATCCAACGCAGACCAGGGGCCATGTGAGGAGTCTCAGAAACAGGGATCTCGGTTTCCCTCATGATTCCAACCCTTTCCGAGTGACACCCATATTTCCCCAGCATTCATACAATCGTATATTCGTACAATTCGTCTTCCCACACCCCCATTCTAAACAAAAATTGTGCTGGTTTGTGTTTTTGGACCACAACTCCCAGAATCCTCCAGGCAGCAGAGAGAACTTGGGGAATTACAGTCCAGAAACACAAACGTAGACAACCCTGCCTTTAATTTAAGCCAGTGGTTGCCCAACCTTGGGTGTCCAGATGGTTTTAGACGGCAACTTCCAGAAGCCTTCGCCACTTAGCTGTGCTGGCCAGGATTTCTGGGAGTTGTAGTCCACGAACATCTGGGGATCCCATGTTGGGAACCGCTGGCTTAAATGGGCAAAGAGACCAGACCGAGTCGGTGTGGTCCAATTCTCACCTCCCTGAAAGCATCTCGTAGCTCTTTGACCCCAATCATGTCGGCCGTCTCTGCCAGAAGTTTGGGTCCCATCAGTTCTACGAAGTCGTCAAAATCCACATGGCCGCCCACTAGGGAGATGGGGGGGTGGGGGGAAAGAAAAGAAAAGTGTGTCAGACGAGTAACGGCCGAGAGGCGGCTACCAACATTTTCGGCTGATCTCGGAGGAGTTCCTTTTTCAACAACAGCTTCCAAACTCCAGCGGCCGTCCTGGCCACTCCCACGATTCTCATAGCTCTGGCTGAAAACAGAGCACAGTAGGACCCCCATATCCGCAAGCGTTCGGTTCCAAGCTCTCCCGCGGGTGCTGAAAAATGTGGATTATAGCAAACACTTTTTTAAGAGTGAAGATTATCCATAGCACGGTCTCTGCCTCCCTCTAGTGGCCAGTCCTGTAAACTTCATCTTTAGAAATAATACCTATTTCTAGGATTTTATTTTTTAATATTTTCAGACCGTGTATGAGTGGACCAGAAAACACTGATCCTGTGGATTTAGTGGTCCTACTGGAACTTTTCCATGCTCCAAAAGATATCATAGTGGGTGAGATGGAAGTAGCTAGAACCTCCCGCCGTTCCAGTGAAAAAGAACGGGGGGTGGGAGATGTTGGGACCACGACATAATGTGACGACAGAAGATCAGGGGTAGCTAGAACCTCCCGCCGTTCCAGTGAAGAACGGCAGGTGGGAGGTGTTGGGACCACGACATAATGTGATGACGGAAGATCAGGGCTGCGCCCTCTTTTTTTTGCACCTTTTTCGCTTGGTGCAAAGCTGCCAGGAGGACACCTCTGCCTGTACAAAGGGCCTGGCATAAAGGAAGAGAAAGGAGATCCACAGTCAAGGGGCCTTCAAAGAGGTCCCTAGCACAGAATGAGAAGCGGTATCCGTGTGGAGCGTGGCCGTTGCAAGCAGCTGGCACTCACAGTTCATGTTGATTTGCTGGGACAGCTCAATCAGCTCCATTTCGGTTGGCATATAACCCATGGTCCGCATGCAGTTGCCCAGATCTCGGCAGTTGATGTACCCATCGCGGTCCTTGTCAAACTCCTTGAAGGCTTCTCTCAGTTCTGCGGGTGCAAAACCAGTAAAAGAAGAGGGCCGTTAGGGCAGAAGCACGTGCTACGGGCAGCCCCAGATTAGAGCTGAAAGCACATTATTGGTGACAGAAAGACGTGGCTCAGACAGTCTTTTGTATCTGAGAAATTAAAGGAATTGCATGCTTATGTTCCCGAACAGCAGTCACAAAACAAAGCAAGCTGATTTTCTGATTATGTGAGCTGAAAAAAGCTACCGTTCAAACTCAGAGGCTTCCTGCAGTTAAGGAATTTTCTCTTCTAATGTCATACTACCTTTAATGTCTGTTTCTGCCTTTGTGGGAGGAGTCAAGGCATATGCTCTATACTAGAAACATCACCGGGGTGTGTGTGTTTCCACGTCACCGGTGAGTCCCTGTGTCCATCCTATTTGAGAAAACCTGTAAGAACCCATCCTGTCTGCTCTAAGCAGAGAAGCGCTACAGTGACAGGAGCTGCTAGTGGATCAAAATCACAAGTAGAAAATAACTCAGACCTAGCTTAAGAGTCCAGCGGCTGAGAGAAGAAACGAGCATTACAGGGAGCTGGAGACGAGAACACCATAGTCTTCCTTGCTTCACTTAACTTGCAAATTCATTTGCCTTGTTCCACGACTGAGCTTCTGAACCTCTGCGCACAATTGCTTTGAAATGTGTTTCTCGGAGCAGAACACTTCCTGAAGCCCATCTCTCCAACACGAATGGGCTTTTGGCTCTAATCAGGGGCCACCTGCAATGTCAGCTTCGAGCCCAAGAGTGCAAGCTGGGGAGGCGCTGGCTGAACCCCAGTTTCAGCCACAAGCCCACTTAACGGCCCCACAAGCTGTGGCTGAGAGCCGGGGGGTGGTGGTTCCTGGTCTTGTCCCCCATCAGCAGATTGACATTTAGTGCAGACAGTGTGCAGAAATTGTTATTATTTTTGGAGGATGATTCCCCCACCCCACCCCCAAGAAAGTACGGTTTCAGCTCTTAGACCAGCATGGCTAGGGGCCGTTCATGGGTCACCGTCTGGGAACGAGCCTAATCCCACTGAAAAGTCATCAGGAGGGCACAAAACGGAAGCCAGTGGTTTTTTTTGGAGGGGGGGTTTGCTGTAGACACCCTACCTTCTATTTCTTCTGGACGCAGCTCCCTGTCCTACAAGGAAAAAAAGCATGTGTTAGATTAAAGCCAGCTCCTTCAGAGAGGATTAAGAGAGCAGCACATTTTTGAGTGTTTGCAAAGATCTATGAACCCAGTTAGTCAGCCCTTTGCAGCGAGGGGGAAAAGAGCCGGTTGGGAAAAAGAACCGGTTAGGATAACAACTATTCCCAGAACGTCCAAGCCAGCCCAGGGGATTCTGGGTGTTGTAGTGCAGAGTTACCTTCCCAAACTCCGGTCTAGCCCTGTGCCTTCGACTGCCTGGGCCCCAGTCCTCCAGAGCCCTCTGGAGATGCTCTTGGGCTTTTTTTTTTGTCCCTTCCAGGGACATTTTTAACCAAAGATGATCCTGGAGATTTGATTCAGCAGCTTTTCAGAGGGAAAGCAGAAGCACCGTCCTGCTTGATGGGGTCTCTGTGGTTCCTCCCCAGTGGGGGAAAAGGAGCAGAGGGGCATTAAAAGAGCATTTTGCTGATTCCCCCCCCCTCACAAAACCCTCTTTCCCAGCATGGAAGTCAAGTCTTGGCTTCGAGGCGGCAGCAGCTGAAGACTCCAGTTCCAGGGGTGTTGTGAATCCACTCCAGGTTTTAGTCTGGACCCAGATGAGGAACGCTATCTTGAAGTAGGACTAAAACAGCTCCTGTGAACAGTGGGTTAGAAAAAGCTAGTGTGGATTCATGGCTCCCCTGAAAATGGAGGTGTGGAGGGCACACACACAAAAAGGCCACTCACTCCAGGAAGTTGGACCTTCATGCCTCTAGGCGTACCACCCGCTCAGCGGAAAGACAAGTCACTGATGAAAAATGTTTCATATTTCCAAGGACAGGAGCTGAGCTTTTCCTGGAGATGTTGGGCATCCCTTCTCCCTCCCCCACAAAGGATGGCACATTGACACCAAGGAGGGCCCTCTCCTGCTGCTGGGAAAAAGCTCGAGACGACCCCACGCTCCCCAGAGACCTAGCCACAGAGAAGCCAGGGTTCAGCCAAGAGTTCCTTCCAATAGCGGTGAGGGTGGAAAAGCAACCCCTGAGAGTAGCAAGAGGATCTGGAGAAGGAAAGGGAGATTCGCCTGTGGTTCAGAAGTCTCGCAAGCACCCAAAGCTGTGTTTTATGTTTGTGGGGTGGAGCAGGGCAAGGAAGTGGAGGTTAGGATCATAAAGAGCAGAAGAATACATCTGAGATCTTGTGAAGAGGGAGCCAAGCCAGGGGTGGAAATGCGCTGCTTCTTGATTATGGGGAAATCCTTCTCTTATCACGACCACCCTCTTGATTTCCCAGAACAACAGGGCGGGCAGGCGGGTATGGCGTTCCCAGCTGGCCGCCTCTCATCCTGTGGACTCTCACATCCAGGCCTGCTGTAGCAGTCTTTTCAGAAAGAGTACCCCCCCGGGAGCCGTGGCCACCTCTCTTTGCGCTGTCCCCTGGCGGCGCAGCTCTCCCCCACCAGGTTCCTCCACACCCTCCGGGCTTTGCAAGCACGCCTCGGCCTGTCCAGGTGCAACTTACGTACTGGCTGCCTGTTTTCCGCGAAGCCCTTCCGGAGGAAGATACAAGCCGGCCCCAGCAGGTTGTGCATCACCGCGCAGTTCTGGGCCAGCACCATGAGGGGACCAGGGAACTCGCCGCCGGCGGACGGCCCTTCCTCACTCATCTGGACAGCCTTATAGCACGCTTTCTCGTCATGGCGGATCTTCTTGGTCAAATCAGCAGAAAGTAAACGACACAACAGAGGAAGTTAACCACCCACCCCCCGGGCCTCCCAGAGCTCTTTGGATGCTTTCAACCAGCAGAAAAGCCAGAGGACAAGAGTCAAGTGGCGCCTTTAAGGCTGGCCAGTGCATTAAAGTGTTAGCTTTCATGCGCACACAGAGATCATTGACTCAGAGGCATCGTATAGCGCTTTGGGGCTTTAGACATCTATATATATCGATACGGTTCTTCCCCCTCCCTGAGATCATTGACTCAGAGGCATCGTATAGCACTTTGGGGCTTTAGACATCTATATATATCTATATGGTTCTTCCCCCCCTCTCACACACACAAGGCTAAAGCCCCCAAACTGTACTGCCCTTGCTGTCAGTGTGAATCCAACATCACAACTTTTCTCACACATCTACAGATTAAAAACTGCTATCTCTCAATGGTGCACCACACATGGGCATTTTCAAGCAAGCGGTTTGGTTTGGAGCATGTCCTCAAAGCCAGACGTTTACACACGGAGATCCGTTTTTTTGTCTACCAAATCCCACCCTTCCTGAGCACTATGAACTGGCTGGGAAAAAAAATTGTTCTGTAGATTTTGGGAGAAGTATGGTGGCGACGACACAGGTGCTAACCAGTAGGAGCTAGACACGCTAGAAGAACTTTTTCTCCCCAGCGCTGGTTTTAGCAAAGGATTCTTTGTGTGTGTTCTTAGGGCATGTGTTCAAAAATCCCCGGCACGCCAAACCAGCTTACATCTGTCTGCACCCTCAACGAGCGTTGTGCCACGTCCGTTGTTGTAACAGTACCTTTAGCCCTTTTATTTGGTACAGCGCCCAACGGCCAGCTGTACATACGGCCTTCGGCTGGGGATGAAAGCCCATCTGATATTTGTAGCATCTCCCCTTTGAAAAGCCACCAAACAGCAGCCTTCCAGCAGGGCTTGCCTCCCTCCAGCTACAGCCTAAAGGCAGAAGGGAAGCAAGAGGCTGTTCTGATGGTTTCTAGTGCAGGCTACATGACCAGGGGTGGGGTGGGGGGGTGAGGAAGGCACATACGTCAGTCCCCAGACACAGGCATGGGTCCGTCTGCATGCAAAGGGAGGCAAAGGAGAATATCTCAGCATTTCTGCTGAACATCAAGGCCACAGAAAACTCCGAGAAGGATGATGGACAGATCTCTGGCTCGAGGCTGAGATTGAGGGCTTGGGTTGGGTCCTCCAGGGTCTCCGTCTTTGGACCGAAGTGTACTGGAATGGGAATGCCATCAAGAGGGCCATTCTGGATTTTGTGGCTCACCCTCCTGGCTTCCAGAGCCTGCCCTTTAGACATGCCCAGAGGCACCTTTGTCGTTGACTTGGCTGATTGTGGAACTTCTGCCTCTACAGGAATTTCAACCTGAACCTGCTTAGATCATCAAGACTGGGTTTTTGGGGGCAAATGGGTTAGAGTTCGTAGAATTTGCCTTTTCTCAAAGGCCACCGCTCCTGGAATTTCTCCCTGATGAGCTTGTGTGGTCTAGTAGGATTCTGTGTGTCAAGAAAGGGGAGCACATCGTAGTCTGGGCAAGGCAGGTGTCCTGGGGGGTGGGGGTTGCGATCTTGCACCGCCAGCAAGCCAAGGGCCAGCCTCAGCCCTCCATCACCTGGCTGGCCATTTCAGAGGGAAGGAATTCATTCCTGTGGCCAGAAGAGGCATCTGAGGCCAAGCCGGCAGTCCAGCTTGACGTTTCAGCCCTGAATGAGGTGTCTGACGGGATTCACCACGGAGGCCACCAACCCACGTCTTGCTAGAATCAGAATCTCCTAACAGGCATCAGGTTTCAGAATTTACTTTCTGTAAGAAATCTCAAAACGTTGGGGTTTTTTAAAAAGCAAGTTTCTGGCCCTCAGGTTTCTAAAGGCAGAAAGTGAGGGATGAGCAGTGACACTCCAGAAGGTGCGGCATGCATTCAAACAATCCAAGAGCAGCAGGATTTCCCTGCCTCGCCTGCATCTTTTCTGCAAAACCCATGTGTTACCACATCAGCGGCCGCCACCACCGCCCATGGCTGACCAAAAATGTTGGAAAAGTTACATTTTTGACTACAGCCACCAGGAGCATGGTGGATGCTGTCGGTCAACAGATCGCCTGAGCCCTAGGCCAAAAAAACACCACCGGCCTTGATCTGCAGTCAACCCACTGCTTGTGTTCCAGTGTGATCCCCAAACCTTGCTGAGTGCAACTCAACCCTCCGCCTTTCTTTGCTTCCCACAATATTGGATGTTGCGTTTTCTAAAGGCACCGCTCAACATGCTTTTGTGTGTGTGTGTGTGTGTGTGTGTGTGTTGTGTGTGTGTGTGTGTGTGTGTGTGTGTGTGTGATGGTGGGAGGAAATGTCCAGCGGGAAATCCTGCATGCAGAGTTCCAGGCCCCGCTAGTGAACCAGCTGCTCGCCTTATATAGCCATGAGTCGCCTGGGCTCTGGCAGAAACATTTTCATCCTGACATTTCCCATGGAGCTATAAAAAGCTGGCAGAGCGCTCAGAGGGACCATTGGCTTTTCATGCAGTAAACATGAACAGCCCCGCCGTGGTTTTCAGGAGAGGCTGTGCGCTCCCTTCCCCACATTTCCCTGGCCCCCCTCCGCTGAACGAGCGCCGCCTGCGCTGCATCGCAAGCTCTCTCCCGGCGAGGCAGAGAACTCGGCCACAGATGCTCACCGATCGGCATGCACCGCTGTGTTTACTGGCAGAGCGTGTCTGTTGCATGACACACACATCCCGCTCACGGGTAGCTCCAGGCAGTTTTTCCCAACCCCTCCAACCCACCCAACCCACATCCACACAATCTGCTTCAAAACGATGCTGTTGACGGTGCAGGAACAGCATCGGAGCCAGAATCGTGAACCATCACAAAGACACTTCGGAAAGGATCCCATACTTCAACCCCTTGAGACGGCCTCCGTCGGCGTGAGACAGAGGGCAGGGCCCTTCCATCACCAGAGGAGCCTTGCGTTTCAACTGGCAAACTGAGGGGAGAACAGTGAACCCTTTCTGGGGGTGGCCGTGTGGGGCTTCGTCTGCCCCTCCCTTGCACCCCTGGATGACAGAAACAGAAACCCAAATCTACCTCATCTCAGAGTTTGGAAACACTGGCTGGGGGGATTCCAGGACTGAAGTGTTTTCTCTTTTGCTCCCTGGTGGTCAAGCGGTCACTGCTTCCCAGGAGGGGAACTGGACACCAACACACGTTTGGAAGGTCATGGATAGGTCAACAACATGTGCCCAAATACTGTCTCCAGTTTGGGGCCATGTAGACACATATAGATCTCTGCCCTGTAGTCTCACTCTTAAGTCTGAGGAAGTGGACTTACCCACAAAAGCTTACATTAAAACACAGCGGCTAGTTTTTAACGTGCCACTACATTTTTGTCTTCTTCTTTTTCTTTTGTCAGGATTGAATTTGGGTTATGAGCAGAATCTCAACTGCAGTACTGCAGTTTAGCCACCGCACCACAAAGCTAACCTGGCCGTTTGGAGACGGGTCCATCTCCAGCCTTTCTGGATGCATTGGTAACCAGCTTCCCTCTCAAAAACTCACAGGGATGTCTGTTGGTCCTGGTATTATTAGCCGAGTGAGTCAATCCATCTTTTGCAAGGTGCAGGGCTCTCTTCTCGCACCCCCCCCTTTGCCTCCTTCCTTCCAGCAAGACTCCCAGGATGTTCAGAGAAAGCCTCCCCATTTAGGATCGGCACCGGCTGAAAGGAAGTTGCTTTTTTTTGAACGCTATATTAGCTCCTTGATTCTCCCAGCGGCCAGGCTGGGAGCCGTAATCTCAAAAAGCAATTTACCCAAGCCGAGTTCAGTTGTAATTTCCCTTCCGCTACGGAGGAGGGCTTTCTCCTATCTTGTGCTGAATTACGATAAGCTCCTATGCATGGAGGAAAAAAATATAAGACTTCCTTTGGTGTACTTCAGTGAATCACAGCCCACGCCTTCGGATGCACAAGACATCCGTGGACCGTCACTCATGGCAGCTCACATGAAAATAAGTTGGTTCCGCCAGTCTTTAAGGGGCTCCAACGCCTTCGTTACTTTATTTCACTATACATCCTGAAATAAGTTGGCAGGGCCACCTCTTTGGGTTCAGAGCCCATCCTCGCTGCTTTTAGGAAGGTAGGAGGAGACGTTTTTTGAAAAGCCGGAGTGCAAAACAGTTTAGCACCCATCGCGACAGCTTTGATTATTTTGCTTATAGATTAGATGGACTTCAGCCTTTCTCGGCTTGCAGTTCCTCGTGCTTGCCTTGGTTTTTAGCTCGTCTTGTGGCCTTTGTAAGCTGCCTGAAGTCTTTCTCCAAAGAGAAAAAAAGGCAGGATAAATATGTGATTATTACACAAGCGCAAGAGTAGGTGGTGCCTTTTATTGGACCGCTTAAAAATCAAAACATTAAAAGCTTGCTATGTGTTTTAATTTTTTCGCGGTCCCAATAAAAGCCACCACCCGCTCTTGTCTTTGTGTAATCTTCGCAACCGCACCGTCCGTTTCCCTGTTCGTTATGTAATTATTACCACTGCTCCCGCTGCTGTGTTTGTTTTCGCGGCCCCTGACCGAACGGGCCTTCTGAAGGACTCGCCAAAGTAGGCGAGAGATGAAAGCCAGCCAGCATCCAACTCTCCAGCAAGGCAGGCCGTCCTGAACCCCTGGATGTGGTCGCCTTGCAAGTTGCTCGGCGGAGCCCGGTCATCCTCTCCTTTTATGAGGGCTAAGAAGAATTCCTTCTCCACCGGCGGGACACAGTGCTGTGGGAAGACTCTCATTGGCTCTGCCAACAGCGCACCCTGTTGCATTCCTTCAGCTGCTAGCAGGAGAGCTAAAACATGCCATCCCCATTGGAATGACCCACATTATCAAATTTTAGTGCTGGCTGGCATCACTGCTCATGGATGGGGGCACCTTTTAGGGAGCGCCTCCATCAGGAAAGTCTCCCGGCTGTTCAGACCAGGTCACCTCTCGTGTCATTCGAACCCGCTGCCCACCGACCACGCTGAGCACTTAAACACTGAGGCACCGTTATCTTGAATGCCGATGCATGCACACGCACACAACATCAGCACAGAGAAACTGGAACGTGTGCATTTACACACCATGCACAGACAGAAGGGGAACCATCAGGCAGATGTGAGATAAGGCATCTCTCCCTTTGGATGCACATGTTTGTCCAGGCGAAGACGCATGTGCACCATTGTGCGCCCCTAGCGCTATGCATGCTGATACCACTGTATGGTTCAGGATGTATAAACACACACACACATACACAGGATGGGAACATACATTCATTTCTCTGGCCAAAGGCATGCCAAGAAACATCAGCACATGTGTTTGTGTCCACACTGAGGATGCTGCATGCTGATACCACTGTATGGTTCAGGACGTATAAACACACACACGCACATACATACACAGAATGGGAAAATACATTCATTCCTCTGGCCAAGGGCATGCCAGAAAACATCAGCACATATGTTTGCATCCACACCAAGGATGTGCTCCCTGCACCCCTCTCCGTATGCCATATTTGTGATTCAATAAGCCCCTGTCCCAGTTGTGGTTTACACAATATCCATCCCACAGTTAGCAAGCACCTGGGAGTCTAGCATTGTCATGGATTCTGCTGCGGGGAGGTAGCGGTGCTGAACCCACAGGCCCAAGTGCACCTTTCACAAGCACCTGGGAGTCCAGCATTGTCATGGATCCTGCTGCAGGGCGGTAGCGGTGTTTAACCGACGGGCCTGATTGCACCTTTCATGTGGAGTGAAAGAACTGGGCATGTTTAGCCTCAAGGAAAGGAGACCGATGGAGAAAATAGGGTTGCCCTTTTAAAAAGACTTGGAAGGACTGTCCTACAGAGGAAGGGCAGGATCTGTTCTCGATCATCCCAGAGTGCAGGACAGGCAACAATGGGCTCAAGGGACAGGGAGCCAGGTTTAAATGTCAGGGAAAACGTCTTAACTGTTAGAGCAGCATGACAAGGGAACCAGCGACCTCGGTAGAAGTGGTGAGGGCTCTAATGCTGGAGGCCTTCAGGAGAACATTGGACCACGATCAGTCATATCTGCTTGGACTTGGATTCCTGCCTTGATTAGTGGATTGGACTCGATGGCCTTTCCAGTCAGATCTGCTTGGACTTGGATTCCTGTCTTGATCAGTGGGTTGGACTCGATGGCCTTTATGGGCCCCTTCGAACTCCATGATTCTAGGATTCTGTGTTCCTGGTGCATTCTGCCTTAACCGGGGGGGAAATTTTCCATAAGTCAGATCTGCTTGGACTTGGATTCCTGTCTTGATCAGTGGGTTGGACTCGATGGCCTTTATGGGCCCCTTCGAACTCCATGATTCTAGGATTCTGTGTTCCTGGTGCATTCTGCCTTAACCGGGGGGGAAATTTTCCATAACCTGTCAAACATCCAACTGGAAAAAAATAATAATCCAGAAGTGCTGTTTGGGCACTCTGGTGCATGGCTTTTTACAAAAGAAAAACAATAAAAGCTATCTGTTCGTATTACGTCCCAAAGATGCTTGAAGTAATCATTCGATCATGAAAAGATGCAATAAGATCTTTGCAAATTGATCCAAAACCAAGCTAACAAGAATGCAGCTAAAATCTAGCTAGGGTCCATTAGGGATGGCAGCATCCATGAAACCCATGACCCTGATTATAAGCATACCATGCCACGGCTGCGCCTGTTAATATTAATTACAGGGGAAAAAGGTTTCCCTCAAGTCCAAACAGGACATCGACAAATAGGTTGTTATGCAAGAGCTCGGCTCAGGCACGAAAGGTCATCGTTTCTACAGAGGAAGGGGCTTTCCAAGGGAGTCAACAAGACCCGCACAAGACCTTCATGTCCAGTGACCTACATTGGTGCCGAAGGTGGGGCTGGGGAAGCAGGCACAGTGGTTGTTCCCCCCCCCAGGCCTGAGAGAGAAATGGGGAGGAGCAGAAGGAACAGGAAGGGGGCAAGACATCCCCTCCGGCTGGCGCTCTCCTCAAACCTTCGCAGAGACAAGGCGAGGATGGTCATCTCAACAGAGAGCCACACGTAAGAGTCCCTTCCTCTCTTGGGAATTCCAAAACTCACTAAAGTGGTGGCTTTATTAGACTGATCAAAGGGGTGTATGTGTGTGTGCATGGAATGTTGTTCTCCTCTTCGGCTTTTGCATGCTTTTCTTGTGGACCTAATAAAAGTATTGCCTTAGTGTCGATTTGGGGGTTTCTCTAGTGCCAACACAGCTGCCCCAGCTTCCCCCCCCCTCTGCCCGCTGGCTCTTGGAAGTCCAGCCAATTGTGGGAATGAAACGGATCCATCCATCCCTTGGCCCAAAACCCCATGAAGCCCATCCCCCCCCACACTGGAAGGAAGGGCAGCTGCCTCCAAAGGAAAGGCTCCTGAGCATTGCAAGGAAGGGGGTGCAGGAGAACCTCCCGGAGAAAAATCCCCCACGATTTGCAAACATGTGCCCACAGCTGCTCCTGACTGCCTGCTGACCCACCGTGGCCTACAGTGGCAGCCGGGCCATCATGCACCCCCCACATACACCCCCTCCACACATACCCGCTTCCAGCCTTTGCCCTCCAGTCATACAGAAAAGGAAGTCCAGGAGGAGAGGTTGGAGAAGACGGGCCTCCACCTTCCCCCTCCTCCTCCCCCCCCAGGCGGCCCATCTCCAGCCTCACCACCTGCCCAGAATGGGAGATGCCCGGCCTTTGGAGGGCACCGTGCCCCGTCCTCCACGCGGGGAACCTACCTTTTTTGAGAGGTTCCTCAAGGGAGACTTCACACAGTTGCCCATTATATGCTGAGGTTGCCTTTCCAGGAGGCCGGTTTATAAAGGAAACTGGGCAAGGGGTTCCATTAAAAGGAGTCCTTAGAAGCAAAGCGAGAAAGGCAGCACGTGTCAAATCCACACCACTGCTACCTCTAACCCTGGCAGCACCTCTGGAGACCGATCTCCTTCCTTCCTTCCTTCCTTCCTTCCTTCCTTCCATCCTTCCTTCCTTCCTTCCTTTCCTTTCCTTCTTCCTTCCTTTCCTTTCCTTCTTCCTTTCCTTTCCTTCTTCCTTCCTTTCCTTCTTCCTTTCCTTTCCTTCTTCCTTCCTTTCCTTTCCTTTCCTTTCCTTCCCCTTTCCTTTCCTTTCCTTTCCTTTCCTTTCCTTTCCTTCCCTTTCCTTTCCTTTCCTTTCCTTTCCTTTCCTTTCCTTCTCAACTTTTTAAGTCCACTTTCTTAAAGAAACAGCTTGGGAAGGGAAGGGAGGGCGAAAGAAGCAGAGAGGAAGGGACAGCGAGGGACAGCAAGCCAGGGAGGGAGGCGGATGGGTCTAATCTACATCAGATTAAAGTTCCTCTCCTTCCCACCACTCAGGATACTAGGAGAGAGCCCCTGTCATTCACAGGAAACTGGGCAGGCAGACAAAAAGACTGCCGGGATCCTGACCCCGAATGGTCTTCTGCCGGGAGGGCTGGGGAGCAGGTTCTGCTCTTTTCGGTCCCCACTGCCTGCTAGAGCTTGTCCCAGTTCTGCTGCTGCTGCTGCTGCTGCTCTCCCGTTTCCCCAGATCCTGAGTATTTTGATCACCAGCCGGCTGGAAGGATGAAGGCAATCCACTTAGAGGTGCAGAGAGGGGCCGGAGCTCATTCTGGCCATACAGAAAACAGACCCCCTGCAAAAGAGCCAGCCAGCAAAGGCTTCAGCTTGGAAGCCAGCCTCTCATTGGGGCTTCGGCTAGGCAGGCACAGAGAGAGAGAGAGAGAGAGAGAGAGAGAGGACAACACACACACACACACACACACACACACAGAGGACAACACACAACCACAGAGAGAAAAAGAGAGAGAGAGAGAGAGCGCTAGCCCACAGTTCTACCATCCCAGCATCATCATTATTTTTGGCCAGGGAGGGGGGTGTCTCTTTCTCTGTGTGCACACGTATTACATTTTTTAAGGCAAAGGAGAAACCCGAATATTCAGATCATCATGTTAAAAAGCTTGGGCATTTTGATGGTTTAGAGGTGGCGACTGAGAACGGACTCGGGGTTCATCATTTGAGCCTAAATTGCCTTGTGGGGGAATCATTCCAAACTGCAAATCCTTCCTGGCCGTCCCTGTCGCTGCCGCCTCTCAGACACGAAGCCGACGTTCCTTTCCAGGGGCGCCTGGCCTGTTCGCTTAGAAAAACTGTCAATGGCCACATAGTTCCTCAAACAAATTACGATAGGGTGCCAATAGGGTTGTGGGAGAGACAGCAGCAGCGATCGGAGCGGACCTTAGGTTCATGAATCTGTTGGAAGGCAGGTGTTTGCACAACTAACTCAGTGGCTTTGGGGGTTCCTTCCTTCTTCCCCCCCCCTCGGTGAAGCTGCCTGTTGGGGGCATCTTGTGCCGAGCCTCACCCGTGGGCAGATGCAGAGCACATCTGGGTGGAGGGGCCTCCGTAACCCATACAGGGTGTTTGTGTGTGGGGGGGGAATGGTGGAAGCAGTGGCCCTGGAGTATTGCAGGGTCTGAAAGCAACTGAAATTAACACTTTTCCATTCAAGAGTTGAGGATCCATTTTCAGCCAGAGGGACAAATTCAGAGACCTTTAATTTTTTTGGGGGGGGGGAATCTGCATCCCAAGAGTGGATGGAGCACAAGGCAAAAACTCCCAGTAGATTTCAGCTTAAAGCTTTCTGTGCCCGGAACGAAGCCTCAAGGAACCCCGTCCGACTTTCCGGGATACGAAGCACACTCTCGGCCCTGTACAGACGCTGGGACGTCTTTAAGTGTTAACCCCCTGGGGAAGAGGCTTGGTTTTCTAGGGACACCTGGAAAACTAGATTAGGGTCCCAGCCTCCAGGTCGGCCAGATTCATTCCCAGCGCCCGAGGTTCTCTGCTTTAACGAGTTGATTCAAGGATTCAACGCCTGGACGCTGGAGGGCGTTTGTTTTAAACTAAGATTGAGGCAGTTCGCTAAGCTAGAACATCTGATGGTTGGGGGTTCAGTTACCCAGAGGGAGGCCCTTTCTGAAAAGCCAGCCTGTGTAGCCTTGGGCACGATGCAGGGTGGCCCCAGAGCACTTCCCAGAAAATGGGAAAGGGAAACTACTGCTGAACACCAGGTACGCTGAGAAGAGCTGCTAAAACTCAGAAGTGACTTGATGGCATCCCATTGCTATTATTATTAGGGTCAGTTTTGTGCCAGGCTGTAACCCCAAATTTTTGTGGCTGCAAGGGGACTTCACTGGGTGGTCACTGGTCCAGCTTTTCCAACACAGATGAAGAAAGAAAGAAAGAAAGATGGGGAACTTAATGGAAAAGGGGTAATAGTTTCTCTTGTTGTCAAGCTGTTGTTATTGTTATGCACCTTCAAGTTGCATCTGACTTAATGATGACCATATGAATGGAGTGATCCCAAAATGTCCTCAACAGCAATTGCAAACTCAAGCCTGTGGCTTCCTGTAGGGATTGAGTCCATCTCCTATTCAGTCTTCCTCTTTTCCTGCAATTATTCTCAGCGTTACAGAATCCTTTACTGTCCATTTGTCAAGCTAAAAACATCTCATTTGCTTGTGGTTACTTTGACAGCAGGGCCCTTGAAGCAATTAAATTAGATTTAAATTGGAAATTAGATTTACATGACTTCCATGCACTGAAAGCTTTGCCAGACTGCAGCTGAAAAGACCCATCCCGGCCTTGTGCCTCTTTTAAGTCTCCAAGACCTGAGGTGGTCTCTTGTCCATTTGTCAAGCTAAAAACATCTCATTTGCTTGTGGTTACTTTGACAGCAGGGCCCTTGAAGCAATTAAATTAGATTTAAATTGGAAATTAGATTTACATGACTTCCATGCACTGAAAGCTTTGCCAGACTGCAGCTGAAAAGACCCATCCCGGCCTTGTGCCTCTTTTAAGTCTCCAAGACCTGAGGTGGTCTCTTGAGGACAACACCTTTCAGAGGCCACGAATTCACAAGGTCACCACGAAGCCAGAAGCAACCTGGAGGCCCATAACGTATGCAGTCCCCATCTGCCACCCATTTATTACTCCACCAGATGTCGGGCGGATGATTGCTTATGCCTGATGATGCATTCATTTGCATTAATACCTAATTCCCCCCTCATCTGAGCTCACAATTATATACTCAGCTCTCTCCCTCCTGGCTTTCTCCTAACAACAACCCTGTGAGGAGGGCCAGGGTCCCAAAGTGGCTTTCTTGAGAGGAAAACAAGCAAAACAGGAATGCCGGCACCCTCCTAATTCTGCCGGGATGCCCCCCCCCAATAAACAAGACAATCCATTTTTAAAGACCTCCATTGAATCCAGTTGCCCTTTTCTGTTCCTGGACTGCCAACTCCACCATTTAATTGACTTCAGGGCTTTAATTCCCAACCCCTGCTTCCACCCACAAAAGGGGTGTGTGTGTGTGTGTGGAGGCTATCCGTCTTTCTCTGTGCATTAAGTTACTTGCTATGCAGTCCTGGCGGCTTCCGGAAGCAATCAAGGCGGAAAAACCAAAATGAAGCCAGCCCACGATAAAATATACCCAAAAAGTCCCTCCACAGGGCTTGACCCACACCGCACTTTGCACATGCTCTAGGGGGCCCCTCCCCCGTGGACTTACCAGAGCTAGCAAATGCACGAAGGAGGAGTTCCCCCAAAGCCAGATTTCTCCCGTTCTGTGAAGCAGCGATTCAAACGGTGCCCTTGGGCGACTCACCGGCGCGCCTCGAACCGCTCTCTCCCCGGCCACGTGGGTGGTGGCTATTACCCGCGGTGGCTTTGGTTTTGAGGTTTTACCGGATCCTCTGACATGATCCTATTTGGCCACGGCCCGTAATCCCGGCGAGTGCACAGGGAACACACTCCCCCCCCCATCCCGAGAGAGGCCGGCGTGTGCGTCATGCGCCTTTTTGGCTCTCGCTCTTTCGCCTCTGGCGGCCCCTCCCGCCCCGCTAATCCTGAATTTGGCCCCTGGGCAGGGGGGGAAAAAGTTGCCGACCCTGGTCGGAGGCAGCGTGGGGGTGCCGAGGCAGCTGCCGCTGCGAGCAGCCAAAGGTTCGATCCCCGGCGCTTCCTCGCCTCGCGGATTTCCATCTCCTTCGGATGGGTCCCGCTCGCGCTTAAGATGCGCGCAGCCTCCTCCTGCCCGCAAAGGTGAGTCACCCGCGTCTCCTCCCTCCTCCACTTCTTGCCTGACTTTCCCCGCCCGTTTGGCCACCTCGCCTGTCCGCCTCTCTCTTCCGCGCCGTCGGATGTCCTCTCCGCGCAGGCTAAGAGCGGCTCCTTGCGCCCGGGGCCACTGGGAACGCCGTTCCTTATAGCGCCTTGTGCCTCTCGTTACTTTTGCTGCAACAGGCGCACAAGGGGTCCCCACCTTGTCCCCCTGGCCGGAATTTGGCCGTCAGGGACCAAAGCTTCGCGGTCTCCCTTTCCTCCCTCTCCTTGCGCACTGAAAACCGCCGCGCCGATGGTCCCTCGGCTCTGGGGAGAAGTTCTCCACCACCCAGAGGAGCCCTCGCTTCCCTCGAATCCCAGAGAATTTGGAGAACTTTTGCAAAGAACGACATTCCCAGCCTTTCCCTCGCCCCAAATGCTGTCCCGGGACTTCAAGGAATCCCGTGACAGGAATATAATATTCGCCTTTTAAAAGTGGCTTGTTTAACTCTTCGAACAAATTCAGTTTATTTTATTTTATGTTTAAATGAGGATCAAATGTTTTAGCTTGCTGTGAACACGGAGAATAGTGCATTGCACTAATGGGGCAGTACTGTATGTAAATCTAAGGAATAAATAAACAAAGAGTAGTCCAATAAAATAAAATAAATCTCCCGCCTCTGTTCCCCCCCCTCGCCCCTCAACTGTTCAGGGTCCTGGGGAAAGCGCCTCTTTCCCCAGGGCCCCTTCCCCGCAGAGGCACCCCGATCCCCTCTCCTGCCCCCAGGGAACCCCACTTCTGCAGCAGTACCTCTCTCGAAAGCGGCTTCTCGGAAGTCACGCGAGCCCCGAGTCCTGGCTCCTTCCTCCTTCCCGGATTTCCCACGCGAGGAGACCGGCAGAGGAAAAACGAAGGGGGCTCCCGCGGAGGACAGACGGGGCTGGGTGGCTCCCAACGGGTCTTTGGTCCCGATCCCGGCCCGTTCACTGATATTTGCAGAGGATCCCGCTCCTGCCCTGCCCTCCTCCTCCTCCTCTTCTGGGTCTTCCATCCCTCTCTCGGCAGAGGAAATTCGACGGAGCCGCTGCCGCCGGGCTTCGTCGTTGCAAGCAGCAGGCGGAGCTCTCCCTCCCTCTCCGCGCGCCCCGCCGGCTCAAGTTCCCCGCAGAGTCTCCCGCGAGGCAGGGCGAAGGGAGGGAGGAAGGAATCTCAGAGCCCCAGGACTAGATTGATCGATCCTTTTAAGCCGGCGCTTCCCAGCCTTGGGTCTCCAGAGGTTCACGGGCTACAGCTCCCAAAAATCCTGGCCAGGAGAGCTCCATCTGGGAGTTGCAGTCCAAAAACATCTCGGGACCCCAGGTTGGGGAACCACCGCTTTTAGCCAAAGGAAGGAAACGTCTCTTCCACCGAACAAAGGCGTCGTATTTGCACATCCTATCACCCTTAACCTTTGCGCCAATCGCTGACGGGATCCGGGATCCCAGTCATACCAGGAAGACCAGCGTTCTTCAGCCCTCTTCTAACACGTGTCGCAATGGGAATCGGGATGGGAGGCTCCGACGTGAACTGCGTTCCCACCTGGAGGAAACCCTTTGCGTAAAATCACGCACCCGGCGCGGATGCTCTTCCTTTTTAGAGGGTTTAGCCAGTGGGCACTCGCGTCTCCTTCCTGTTGGAAACGTACACCGTGCACTTTTGGGGGGTCTCCCCCCCCTCCGGCGTCACCACCCCGCTTGGCTACCTTTGCTGCTTAAAGCGACAGACCACCGACACCTGCTCGGGGGTGAACCGCGTTGAATCTGATCCCTGAAACAAGAGGGAATCGAGGCATTTGGCTGCCGGAAGTGGCGAAGCAACGGGCTCCCCACCTCTTGAATCAAGCGGCGCTCGAGGGGGAAAGGCAAGGTATGAATGAATGAATGAATGAATGAATGAATGAATGAATGAATGAATGAATGAATGAATGAATGAATAAATAAATAAATAAATAAATAAATAAATAAATAAATAATTTTGCCAACCCAGGTGATGTTGCAATAATACCCCAAAATTAAACATGGAGTTGCACAAGAATCCCACACGGCTGTTCACTTCAAACTATTTTTAACATATTATAAAAAACATGCATTCTTAAAACAAACAAACAAACAAACAGGGGAAAAAAAGCAAAACCCTTCCTGTGCTCAGAGTTGGCCAAAGCTTCACAGAAGAGAAGGGTTTTTGCCTGCTTGCAGAAGGACATCTGCGGAGGGCTAAACCTAGCCTCCAGTGGGAGGGAGTTCCACAGCCCACCTTGTGTTTCCCTCGGAGGTGCCCTTGTGGGTGGTGGGGGAATATCGCCCCTCACATCAGGGGCTTCTTTCTTTCTTTCTTTCTTTCTTTCTTTCTTTCTTTCTTTCTTTCTTTCTTTCTTTCTTTCTTTCTTTCTTTCTTTCTTTCTTTCTTTCTTTCTTTCTTTCTTTAACTGCTAGCCAAATCCTCCCACACTTTCTCCCTAAGGCAAACGGGAACATTTCTTCACAAGACAGTCACCGAACGGAAACCCACAAAAGCCAGCCTCAGAACGTCGTGACCCCCCGAGACAGTGTCGTGACCTCAAAGGGACTCTTCTAGAAAAAGGGCATTTTGGCAGCATTTCAAATGGGAGACCGTAGGACTGGGATATCGCCTAATTTGGAGTCTGTAAGGGGAGATGAAGGTGTGGGCATGTGGGCCTTTTTCTTCTTAAAGCACCTGATGGTCAGGATTCAAGGAGGAACCCGTTGCCTGAAGGTTTCCCTGTTCTGTCAGGCCCCCTCCCACTACATAGCTGATGGGTCAACCCGTTACACAACTCATCTCATAACCCTGCCGGACAAAGGCTGCCAAGAGGGGCCTGCCAGAGTTGGAGGCAGCTACCCTTAGGTGATCAAGATTTGAAACTGAACCAAATACTGGCCTAAATATATGGATAATCATATTTTTTTTGCAACAGTTTTGTAGCTTGCGCACTAAAACTCTGCTTTAGCCCAACTACCTCCCTTCTTGACAACAACGAATGGCTTTTACATCTCAAGGTCAAACACCGAAAAGCTGTGTATCAGCTAGTGAGGTTTAGCATCAGCTGATTATTTCTACCTGGATACTTAGGAGGAGAGTTATTCACACAGGATAATCCATGAGGTGTCATGGACAGACTGAGGGATTAGGACTCTGAAGACCTGGGTCCAAATTCTCACTCCGCCAAGGAACTTCATGGGTGTATGTGTGTAGAGTTGGTAAAACAACACTTTCTCCCCTTGAAAGTTGTATTCTGGTCATTATAAAAGTCTGGACACTTGTAGGATGACGGCTTTCTTCCTATGAGGCCGCTCTGCTTCCTTGCCCTCCCCGGGCAGAAGCTCTTGGCTGCTGGGAGCACACGTTGAATAAACATGGCAACGAGCCCATGACAAGCTGTCTTCTGCAGTTCCAAGATCGTAAAGTAGGGGTTATGGTGCCATCAAGAAAGTCTAGAAACATTTACAAGCAGGCCCCTTACAGTGGGAGCCAAACGTGTAACTAAGAGCGTATTTACGCAAGCGTATCTCCTAACGAGTTTATACTACCGTTGTGTTTTGCATGGCTGAGACTTGTAAACGGGCAGAAGCCGCAGGGCTGGATCGGAAAAGAAGCAGCCCTCTGAACCTACTTGCTCCACCAGAGAAACTCTCCTGTCTGAAACAATGATGAGGGCTCACTCTTCCAGAGGAGATTTACACTACACAGTGGTTTGATCTCCCTTCAAGAGCTAGGATCCTATTAAAGGCGGTCGGATCGGCCTGGGCAGCAAGCCGCTGCTTTTTTCACGAGGTGCCGGTTGCACTCCTGGGCAGGCGCCCAAGTGCGAGAGCCCACGCACGCCCAGGAATGTAACCCACCTCTCCAGTTGTCATCTGAGGGGCCGGTTGCCTCCAAGGGGTAAACAATTTCTCTTGTGCAGACGTAAAACCGTCAAGAGAATTCTGGCTGACTCCGGGCGTTGGCCATTGAGCTGAGCAACTTAGAGTTCTTTGCTATAATCCAGAGAAGTGCAGGAGGGCTCTCTCGCACGGAAGTCTGAGCCCCTGACTAAAATGCAAGCCCCAAGAATTCCATGTGGAGGAACTGAGGCAGCTCAAATTCCCTCAGACTGCCATAGCTGTGGGATACAGACATGATCTCAGGGCGTGATCACACAGGGGCGTGGATCGCGTTTGGACACCTTGTGGAGTGATCTGATGTGATTTATTTCCCAGCCATCCCACCACGCATGGAGAAATGTGCTTAGATCTGTGCCCAAACTGGGCCTTCTCGATCTGCTTCTAGAGATTCTACCTTTTGGGGCAAATTTCTTGGCAGATGGAAGGGTTACTTGGAGGGAGATGGTTCCTGTTCAAGCAACCCTTTCCGATGAGATCAGGCACTCATCTTGGCATTGCCGGATCACACCCTCAGTCCCACACCTCAGCCGGCCTGTATATAAAGACTCCAAATTAATTTTTAACCTCTGGCGGATCTAGCTGCAGATGTTCCTCTCTTCTCCCTGGGCCATCAGGATGATGCCCTGGGCCTGCCAACATGGGAAACCAACCACCTCTAGAATTGCTGGTAATCCAGCAAACAAAGGCTTTCTTCCAAACGGGTCGCTTTATTCCATGCCTCAAAATGCAGAGGCTTTTACTGCCTCCCATTTCTAAGCCATCTCAATTTCTCCACTGCTTCTTCCCTCTTTTTCAACTCCTGGGGGTGGAGGCGGGA